ATATTTGTCTATACTCAAGCAGCTGAGAAACTGGCACTGAGCATCTCCCACGTCAGTGCCCAAGCAGATCATATACTATGAATGACCACTCACACTTGTTTTAACATATCTACATTTGCCCAAAGTTAATTTTATATAAGCTTTAACATAATACAAAACAACAAAGGATTTTCTACCAACTTTAAGTGGAAAAACGAGCACAAAAAGCAAGTCTTAAAACAAATTAAGCAGCCTGAATACTGGGAATACGGTGTAGGAATCAATTTTGCTCAGCTAAGCTAGGGGGGAGGAGTGGGAATCCGTGAGGAAATGCTAAAACAAAACATATGGCACCAAGACTAAAGCCTAAACACTCCATTTAGAGCTCAGGCAGTTATATTTTATAGAGGGGAACATTTTTCTTGAATGGGTTTTAAATAGTCAGGCGTGTGAAACTGGGTGCAGCCAGCACACGGGCACCACAGGTAGCAACCAACACTGTGCTCCAAAAAAGGAACCTAAAAAGTTATCATTGGACAAGAGCCTCCCATTCCAGCCTGGTTTTTACATCCAAAGACTCCTGTTGTGCCTGGTGAGCACCTACAGGCTGCTCTTTTTCAATGGTAGTGCTTTCTCAGTGCGTGAGACAACTACACAAGCACCAGATGGGTGACCACAGATATTCTGACAAAATTTGGGGAAGTGGAAATTTTAATTCTAAGAATTTTCTCTGTACCTGCAAAAGAAAATTTCTCCCACACAGGCCACATATGCTCGCATGCAGAGCTTGGGAAGAATGTGGCTAGAAACCTAAATATTCAACTCCAAAAGATCAACGTGTTCACAGGCAAAGCCTGACTCCAAAGCTACAGAAACTGCAGTCATTAAAAATCCTAATCGTTCTGTAAATGGTGACTTCAATTTTCAATTTAGGTTTGATTTCTGAGGGGATAAGAAACTCCCACCACATCTGTTCATGTAGCCTGCGCTGTCCTCATCTCGCTGTGAAGGAATCTGTCAGGGGAGAGAGGGCACAGGAACAGAGCACGGGAGCACTCCCACCACTAATTTATCTCCTGCTTCTGGCACAGGCTGTTTGCAGCAGAGGGGATGCTCCTAAATCAAACAGCCACAGCCAGCACAGCTCTCATCTTTCCAAAAAAGTAGCAAAACGAGAATGACCCAGTTTCAACCAACTTCACTACTGCTACCAGCATTTCCAACAGGAATTGTGAGATCCAGGGAACCCACGTGTGTGAGTATCTGATCAGCACAAGCAGCATGGGGTCGAATTTTTTTCAGGCTTCAAAAAGAAGACTGCAGTGATTTATATGCAATCCACGCTCAGAAGACTGACCACCTTCACAACCACCAGCACAGTACAGACTACATTCTGCTTTTTAGATGAAAATTTGAGTATCTCCAGAGGCCTTATTCACCCGTAAAATTATGGCTACTCTGAGGGGACATGTCACTGAAACGCTTTATAAATTGTTTCCTCTACCCCAGCTCCACTTTATCCTTTTTTAACTTGAAGTCAGGTTCTCATCCTGATCAAGGTTCCTTGATTCAATGTACTAGAAGTTATTTAAGCCTAAGGAAGCTACTCAGCAGTTATTAACACTAACCAGGCATAATCAACACAGATATTAATCCATACCTTTATAATGGCATGAGTCATCCCCAGTGCTGAGTAATCCCTTTTTTTATAGTATTAGCCAGAATCAGGTGGGCAGTTTTACAGCAGAAGTTCTCTTTGCAGATAGAAAACTTGCACCTTTAATTCCTGCACCAAAACAGTATGGAACCATCCACATCCAATAAAAGCCACATATGGCAATTTTCAGGCAAAACCAGCACAAATTAAGGAATTAGACTACACATGGATTTCCTGAATTTCGATGTGGAAAAATAGCTGAGCTGGTAATCTCAAAATTTACTCTAAATTTTAAGAGTAGTGATTTTTTTTTTCCATCAGGAAACAAGTTAAATCCTTTAAAAGCACCGGTGCAAGGTTCATCTCCTTCCACACCAGGACGCCTCTTTGTTCTGTGCTGAAAGACCTTTACAGCTCTACGTTAGTAAAGAGAGTTCAAAAAAAAAAAAAAAAAAAAGAAAAAAAAAGGGCAACCCACCAAAAACCCCTTGAGGTTTACAGGAGACATGAAGCAGGAGGCAAGGCAGTCCAGCTCAGTTAACACAGTGACATTTTGTCCCACAAATCATATACGTGCTAGGAAACTTGCGTCACATCTCCATCCAGGCCGCTGGCAGACACACCAATGTTTGAAATGAGTAAAGGGGGGGCGGGGGACAGGAAAGTTAAAAAGAGAAACCATATGTTTGCAATATACACATCTCAGTGTACACTCCATCACAGGCCAGAATGCCAACACAACCCCTGAGTGAGCAGGCGACATCCAGAAACTCGGTTTGCAGAGGGACAGAGAAAAGATATGGAAGAAATTAAGTACTTTTTACTGATTCCTCCCCAAGTTCTGTCAGTTAATGTGAGACAACACATCTCTGTGCTACTCCTAATGCTCTGAGGTGGGACGTGCCTCTCCAGCCACAAGTTCTCCCAAGAGCAGAAGTGTATTTACATTCCCTTTTGTTCCCATCCCACCCTGCTCGCCACAAAGAGGCAGATCGTCCATTCGCTCCTATCCTTGGATACTCAGGTCCAAATCCTCGCTTTGTGCCACCACAGCAACCCTTTACAGGCTCTCAAAAGAAAAGGAAGTATTTCTTACACAGACAAATCCAGTTCTCTTTCCCCAGGAAATGGGTAAATGTTCTGCCCCTTCCTCCTCACACCTGTATCTCCTGATCCTCATGTATCTCCCGCTCCTCAAAGAGGCTGAACATCTTCCTCCCCAGGGCACATTTTCCAGAGAAGGTTTAAAGGGTTGGTCTGTAGGATTACACCTTCCCTCTCTTTACAGAGAGTTTGTCTCTTTCCTAAAGCACTGCTGCTCCCCCTAAGCAAAGGGAGAGGACAAAGCCTGATCCCACAGAGCAACAAGGATTTCCAGAAGGATTTCCCCCCCTCCACAGCTTTAGTTCCTTCCTACTTTTAAACAATGCCAAGTATTTAATCTCTTAAAACAGCATTCTCACAAACTCTCCCACCTTCCTTAACAGAAAACAAGCCTCCCCACGAGGCAGAGATGGAAAGCCTGGGCATGACAGTGCTACGTCATTTAGAAACTTCAAATAAAAGCACTCTCAGAGAGATTACCCGAAAAATTAACCTCCTTCCTAAAAGCCTTTGGCCAGGAGCCTGCCCTGCCACCTCCTACTTTATTTCGCGCCTCCGGAAAGCGAGACGGGAGGCACTGACCTTAGAGTCACCTGTGGCACCACCTCTGATGTGTCACACACTCGCCCCAGAGCAATATATCCCTCACGCACACCCCAACGAAATGGTCGAGACAGCCAATAAATCAGTACAGCGGGAGGCCTTTGGTAACTGGGCAGTTTAAAGTGAAGAGAGAGTGAGGAAGGAGCAAAAGGAAAAAAAATTCATTAAATGGAGAGAGCAAGGGCTGAGGCCTCGAGCTGTGAGGACAATGAATGAAAACGCACAGCAGCAGCAAAATCCCAGGATAAAAGGCTCGTTCGGCGGCTCTACCGAACCCTCCACGCAGGGACCAAAGCAACGCGGGGCTCCGAAAGTGCTGAGAGAGGTGTGACCGCCCCAAAATGATCGGGGCTAAGCTGCGGAGTTCCCTCCTGCTGACCCCCTCACACCCAGCACATCCCAAACCACGCCGTGGTGGGGAGCAGAGCCCCCCCAGCACGGACCCCGTCCCGCTCCCCCCGGCAGGATGACACGCACACCCTGCACAGAGGGGGGGACAGAGACCAGGGGTTAACCCCTGACGGGGGGCGTCCCTGAGACCAGCCCAACCCTCTGCTGGGGACGGGGCAGACCCACATTCCCCTGTGAGGGTCCCTCACACACGTCAGGAAGGGCAGTAGAGGGGACCCCCAGACCCTCACACCCCTCAGGGCAGGACGACAGACCCTCTCACACCCTCCCGTGGCTGAAGCGGGGGGTCACACAGCCCCGCTCCTTGCTGGGTGTGCAACAGGGACCCCCCTCAGCTGAGGGGTACCCCAGATCTTCACACCTCTTAGGGCGGGGGGGGACAGACCCCTCAAACCTTGGCTGAGGGGAAGGGGGGGTCACCCAGTACCACTCCTGGGCGGGGGGTGTGTGACAGGACCCCCCTTGAGCTCAGGGGGTTCTGACCACCCCCCTTCCTCAGCAGAGACCCACACACCCCATCCCCTCAGCGAGGGGCTGCGCGCACCCCCTCAACCCCCCTCACGGCCGCTCACCGATGACCTCCTGCAGCTCGTAGTCATCTTTATTGATGGACCAGGGCAGCGCGCTGGGCTCCTCGGCCATGGCCGCGCCGCGCCCGCCGCCCTCCGCGCCGCGAAGGGGAGCGACTCCGAGGGGTGAGGGAGCGGAGAGGAGGCGCCGCGGATGCCCCGGCTACCTCTCCGAACCCCGGCCGAAGTCCGGCCGAGCCCCCTCCTCCTCCTCCTCCTCTCCCGCCGCTACCGCCGGCCCGACTCCGGCCGCCGCCGCCGCCTCCACCTGCCCATGCCCGGAGCGCCGCGCGTCACCCGCGCGCGCCCCGCCCGCCGCGGCCGGGGCGCCGCCCGCCGCCATCTTGAGCGTGGCTCAACGACCCTCCACCCACCCGCCCGCCGCCACGACCGCGGCTACGCCACGGTTTGCTCGGTTCGCCACCACCGCCCTCTTGGGACGGGCGAGTGAGAGGAGCGGGGGGTGTGGAAAGCGAAGGGCGGAGGAGGAGTCCTTAAGGAAGGGAAGGGCGGGGATGCCACACACAAGATGGCGGCGGCGCGCAGCGGCCCCTCCCTCAGGCACGGGGCGGGAGGGGCTGGCGGTTTAAGGCGCAGTGCGGGCGGTGATTGACTGCCGGCTGCCGGATCCGCCGCCCCTATTGGTGGAGCGGCTGTCAATCAAGTGCTGCCCGTCTCCTGGGTCCCTGTGCCCGCGGGGCCTCGGGTCGGGGCTGGGCCCGATCCTGCCCTGAGGGGATCCAGAACCCGAGGGTGGGTGTGGAGCGCGACCCAGGCGCACATTCCGTGTTTAAAAATAATCCCCGGGGTGTGGCGGATCAAGAGGTTTGCTCTTCTCGCTGCCTCCGAGGAGGAGGCCAATATCATCCTCTATTCTCCAGTGTATCCTTCTGCCTGCTCCACGCTGCAATTCCAGCGTTCTTGGATGTGATCCTACACGCTCGTGGGGATGTCCAGCACTCTCATCCTGTGTGTGGTTCATGGCTCCGTAGCTGAAGCTTTGTTGTCTGGATGCATTCAGGAGTACATCTGGTGGTCACTGGGAAGAACAAATTGGGATTAAAAGAGTGAGGAATACGAGGCTGAGTGGCACCATGGACCCGCAAAGGCTGATCTCTGTGTGTGTGTGTGTATATACATATCTATATATACTTATATATAGATATACACACACTTACATATATACATATATACATTTAAAATGTTTGCAAGTTGAAGATCTATTTTTTTTTTTCCCCAACATAAAAAGAGATAAAACAGTATCCCACTGTCACCAGGCACGGCAATAACCATCAGGAGAACCGACTGGGAATCTCAGTATCAGGTTTCATTCTTCTCTGTTGGTCACTTCTTCCTGTGTGGCCTGATGTCAGGCACTTCTGCAAGTCAAAGAACATCAGTTATATGTATTTTTAGCCTATTAGGACAAATTCCTGAGATGCCTCTGGTGAACCAGGCTTTGTGGAGGGCCACTGCCAAAGGCATGGTCTGACCACAGTGTTTTCACTTGTGCACTAATGCAGGACACCAACTCCTTCCTATACCCTTATTTTGTGTCCTACAGAAGCCCCATAGCCCCATCTCACTCACTGCTGTGCAGGCACTCCACAACTCTGTCATAAAGCAATTCCAACTGAAAACCTGTTTGTTTTCCTGCTTGTGTGCATTAAACATTCCCCTGCTGAGCAATTTTTAGTATTTGCTAAATATGCTTTAATTACTGCTCAGAACTATCTCTGTGATCTTATAACCATGTTATAAAAGGAGTTTATATAGCAATTAAAAACAGCTTTTACCCCAGAGCACGCACTCGGGTAACCACTCTCATATTTCTGATAGCTAACAGCATGTTAGAAATGGATCTGAGCCAGACATCAACAACAAAAAGAGACTTATAAGGTTAATTTTACCACAGTGGTTTAAATTAAGAACCATCTTTTGGATTCTCTGATTTTGGGCTGAAAATCCTCCCCCTGTAGGCAATGCTAAATCTCTGTTTCTTTAGACCACTGCAGCAGGATTATGTCCACGATGAACCTTGTTCTTTAAGAATTACCCCAGACTTTGATTGGAATTAAAATTTAAAATGTGCACTGACAAGACCACCAGTGGCTACACTAGCACAGAGAGTTGAGTGCTGCATTTTAGTTCTCCAGCTCTGCAATGAAAAATGCATTTCCACATTTTTAACTCGAATCTCTCATTTACACAGACTACAGCTCCCATAAATTTTGTATTATTTTTTAAACGAACTCAGCATTTTTAGTCCCTCAAAAGTCAAGGGTTGCTGTTTCATTCATTCAGAGGGTTGTTCCAACCTGAGTCTGTTGACGGATGAAAAAATGGAGCTGGATTCCACAGAGCTTTTATTCCTTAGCCAACTTCGGGCCTCCCAGCAGCACCTTCTCCTCTTTCATCGTTTCTGCTCATCCTACTTTTCCCAATTTGCTTTATTTTGCCTGCCTTGTGTAGGCTGTGAGCTCCTCAGGGCAGAGGCAATGCCTCTATTTATAAAAGAGCCCATGAAGTGGTGCTGCTGAATCAAGCGCTCTGTTGGAATAACGAGAAATTTTAGTTGAAATCTGAAGTGGAAAAGCAGTTTCCTGGTGTATCCACCTCCTCCCTGGACCGGGCTTTAGGGGAGACCGAGAAGTGGAAAAACTCCAGACGTCTTTCAGGTGGAAAGGCTGGAGCCTGAGAAAAAAAAATCTCAAGAGCTGAGTTTCCTGATTTTTTTGACTTCCAATAAAACATCACGGATCAGGGCAGGCAGTGCCCTCCTCCCATGGATTGGGCTGCAGAGTAGAGGCTTTCTCCTGACTCCTGCATTTCACTGATGTCCTGGGGCTCGTGTTCCACTGTGAATGGCCTTGGCACACCAGGCACACGGCACATGCTCTCACACAAAATGCTCCCCTTCTCGTAAGGCACATGGTTTCCTGCCTTTCTGGGCCAATTACTTATTGTTTCAACGAAACTTACTGGCACTGTGCAGCTCTTTGCCTGGTTTTTCCGTCCATGGAATCTTGGCTGTCGTAAAGCTGATGTTTAATGCACAGATTGGTGGCTGTGATACTTGGCACACAGGCATTACTACCTTTAGTACCTGGAAAGGGTCCTTGATTGTTTATGGAGTTTATCAGCAGGTCGAGGGAGGTGAATCTGCCCCTCTACTCCTCTCTTGTCAGACCCCACCTGCAGTGCTGCCTCCAGCTCTGGGATCCTCGGCACAGGAAGGACATGGACCTGTTGGAGAAAGTCCAGAGGAAGCCACGAAGATGCTCCAAGGGCTGGAGCCCCTCTGCTCTGGAGACAGGCTGGGAGGGCTGGGGGTGTTCAGGCTGGAGAAGGGGAGGCTCCAGGGAGACCTTATTGCAGCCTTCCGGTACTTAAAGGGGGCCTATAAGAAAAATGGGGACAAACTTTTTAGCAGGGACTCTTGCAAAAGGCAGCAGGGAATGGCCTGTCTGAGGGACAGTCAATTTAAATTAGATATAAGAAAGAAGTTCTTTATAATTAAGGTGGTGAGGCACTGGCACAGGTTTCCCAGAAATGTGGTGGATGCTCCACCCCTGGAAACATTCAGGGCCCGGTTGGACAGGGCTCTGAGCAGCCTGGTCTAGTGGAAGATATCCCTTCTCACTGCAAGGGGGTTGGACTAGATGGCCTTTAAAGGTCCCTTCCAACCCAAACTGTTTTATGATTCCATGATCATCATCACAAGATGAACATAAACTAACTTAATTCACACTTGGGTTGTAGAAAACTAGTTTAAACTCCAGTTCGTGTATCCAGGCCCTGCAGATTTCATCTTTCTAGTTGTGTAGCCTCTCAGATATGTAATTTTCTTCTTGTTAGGGTTGAAGTTGCTCTTTCAGCACGGCCATGCAGAGGCATTTGCTGTCACAGCTCAGTGCTGTTCGGGGCCGCAGCACTTGTTGGTTAAAGGCTCTTTAAGGCATCACAGACCTCTGTGAGTGCCTGTGCATTGGCTCCCACGGCTGGAGCAAACAATGGCAGTTAATGTGCCTGTGGAACTGCCTGGCACGGGCCTGGTTTGAGGGGAGCCCAACAATGCCCATTTTATTGCCCTCAGAGCCGGGCAAGCGCGTGTCGGCGAGCAGAATGCCTGACCTTGTTCCGCTGCAAAATCTGCCTGCTGTTCTTTCTTCGTGGAAACACTTCCAGGTTTATTGAAGGGACCTCACTCTATCAAACATCAGCTGATTATTTCACAAAGTACAAGGCAGTTTCCTCTCCAGTCAACAAAGGCAGGCACTGCACTTGTTCTCCAGGGCTTTCTCCTGGCAGATTTGCTTTGGGTTTGGAGAAATTAAGCAAGAACCCTGCAGCAGAGGAGCAGTGCTTTAAAACCCTCCAACTACAGCAAGCTTTTAATAGTAGTTGTTTTCAAAACACAAGCCAAATGCCACTCTAAACCACACCTTCCTGAGGGATCCTGTATGCTACTCTGTATCTCCACCCCTTCACTGAACCCAGGTGTGCTAAGTCGTTTTAAATTCAGCTCTGAGGTCACTTTAAAGTCAAGTAGCTGAAGGCCCGGTTTTAACAGGTGAATTCTGGTTTTCACAGGGTGTTTACTGAAATCAGCTTTGGCTCTGCAAACACACTTCTCATCCCATCACCCTGCCTCTCAACAGGAGCTCTGTGCTGTTCTCTTACTTCCTCCACTGAAAATATCACCCAGTTTTTAAGCTCCTGGAAACAAGTGAAGAGTTTTTGACTAAGACAAGGTTCTTTTTCTTACTCTTTTCTCATAAGTTTATGATTTTGTAGTATATAAATTGAAAGGCAGTTAACCCTCTCTGTAACAAATTAAAGCTTTGCTGCCTCCTTCAAATCTAACATAAAATCGATGCTAGGTTTGAGAAGTAATTATAACGAGATCTTGATTATCACATACCTGAGCCACAGCTTAATAATCAGCCCTCTGCTCTGGTTTACACTAATGCTTTCTCCATACCTCTTTGTCTTTACAGAAGCCAGTGAAAGACACTTCATATGCTTGTGCCTCTTTTTGCCCTGGGAATGTCACAGCTCCTCAGGGCAGAAAGGTTTTCCCACTGGCATCTTCTGTGGAGAGTAAATCTCCATCATAAACCACTTTCTAAGCAGCTGAGCAGGACAGGGGATGAGAGCATATTTTAGAGCTTTTCTCCTTGTTGTTGAAAGTGCAAAATAAGCCCAATGAAAGCATCCAGAGCCTGGTGGACAAATGGATACCCCTGGGCTGACTCTTCTGCAGCTGATGAAGGATGGCCAAGGACTGTTGGTTCTATGATTTAAAGCTTTGCCTGTGTATTTAAAGCCATTTTGACATGTCTGGACATAACCCTTGACAGAGCTCTTTGGAAAATATCCCCTCCTTGCCACTTGCTGTTAAAGCAGAGAAGTCTCTGGATACTCCAATCTCCTTCTGAGGATTGGCCATGGCAAGATTGAGGACAGAAAGCAGTTTTTGGAGGAGACACTGCTGCTCCCAGGTGTGCAGCACAGCATGGATGCTCTGCCAGCTGGGAGTGCTTGGACCCCATTTACAGCTGGCAAACTTTGAAGAAATAAAATAAAATACCTTTTGTAACATTACAATGGAGCAAGAGGAATTCTCTTGAAAGGCAGTGAGAAGAGAAACCCTAGGAATAGAAAGATAGGATTGGATAAGATTTCATTCAATTCTTGTCATCTGGGAATAAGATTTGTGAGGGAATATTGTTCTTATCCTTATAAATGGCCAATATCTTCTTGAACCCAGAGAAGCAGAGGCCAGGCAAGGTTTGTGGTTCACATTAGCAGATTCTAATGACATGAGTTTACAATAATAGTCTAATAGTTCAGTGTAACAGTGACTCATGGCTTATTACTGTGGTGATAGGAATGTAAAGAGATCTCCTTTGAAAAAAAATCTATTTGGATAGTTCACATCCTTTCCTCCCTACTCATGAATTCCTGTGCCATTGACTGCTAGCTGCTAAAAATAGGATTCTTTTTGTGTATCTAAAGGAAAACCTAGAATCAGAGAGACAGTTGGAGGGGACCAAGGCCCTTCCATAGAGAGCCTTCAGGAAATATTTGTAATGAAAGCCCTCTGAGAGTGCAGGAATGTTTTTAAAAGATGGGAACAATCTAGGAAGATATTTTGGAAGGAAGAAGGAGAGGAATTAATGAATCACAGCAGCTCCCAGCTTTGGTATTTTGCACCATGGGGATGGGAAGATTCATCTCTTTATTAGGTACAGGACCAAGCTACAGCTTTGTGTTGGAGAAGCTGTTCCACTTCAGCAGCAGCAGAGGAAGCTCTAGGGAACAGCCCAGGATCAGCCCTCTGGGCTGATGAGGAACCAGGAGAGGAGACTTCCTAGAAGTCACTTGAAATTGTTCAAGTCCCTTGAGGACAGCAGCAGGGAAGGGGAACTTACATGAGTAAGGTATCTGCAAATGGATTATCAGCACTGCTCCTTCGAAAAAAGGAGAAAAAAACCCACATGGCACCTCACAAACTGAAGTGTGAAATCATGCAGCAGGGAAAGCTGTCACAGAGAATCAGAAATTGATTTAATAGACAAAAGTTAACTGCTGCATAATTTGTGCAGATTGCTGCTGGCTGAGAGAGAGAGAGAGAGAGATCCACAGCTCCAAAGGACTTAGAGCAGGCACCCCCTGGCAAAAGGTTCGGAAAGCAAAATTCCATCGCTGGCAATTGTGCGTGTACTGAATGCTTCCTCTTCTTCAGTAGGGAACAATTAAAATCGATGGCAGGATGCAAGGTAACAAAGGGAAATGACTGATCAATATGCATGTCTTGGAGCTGAAGACAAGCCTGTCTGCCGGGAGCAGCATGCTGATGAGGCGAGATTCCCAGAGAAAACCTGAAAAGCTTCTCCTGCTGCTCGGTGACACAGCTGAGCAGATGCCAGGTGCAGTGCCAGGAGAGGTGAAGGCACCAAGGAGGCTAAAGAATAACTGTTAGGAAAACCAGGAAATATTAATTTTAAGACTAAATAGCTTTAAAGTAAAAAATGTGATGCTTTTCTTTTTTGCCTTTCTGAATATATCAGAAGCCCTTTACTGATATTGATAAATTATGGTCTTTACATACCTGTGCAAGGTTTTAGAGATGCTGAGACATTGACATTTTAAGGCCAATGTCCATTTTATTCCTCATCTCAAAGCACTTTAAATCTCATTTCCCTGTATATTTCACTGGGGGGGGAGTCTCTGCCAAGTGCTGCCAAAAATCAAACACTAAATCTTTCATGATTCAGTAGTTTTGAAGCAGTCACCCAGATTTCTGAACACTTTTGAAAATACTGCTGTAAAGGGTCTGCCACGGATCTGGTGGGACAGGGAATGGCACGTGGACCTCCAGGTTTGCTTTCCCAGTTTTTCCCCTCTTGAGTGGTATTTATTTTCTGAGGGAACAGCCTGGCACATGAGCAGTTAAGCACCTCAGGACTCGCAGCTCATACATCTCTTTCTGCTGACACAGACAGAAGGTGAACACAGCTGAAGATTAGAGCCAGAAAAATGCTGCAAAAACTTTGTGAAAGTTCACTTCATCCTAACCCCACATTTGCCTGAACATATTTCCCATGAGTTCCTAACTGTGGCATCCTAAAGAGTGGATGAATACCCATTTTGTCACCTCATGACTTTGATTTCGTTGACAAACCAGAGAAGATTGGTAGCGTTGAGACAGCATGTTCTCCCTGGGCTTGGAGCAAGGGTTCTCCTCCTCCTGATCCTGCACCATGTCACCTGCTGCCTCTTCCTCAGAGCCCTCCTGTTTCCTCAGCACAGGTGAAGGAGCAGCCATTCCCTTAGGAGCCACTGCACCTTTCCCTGAGGCTGGTTCCCAGCAGGCACACTGCTTTGCTCTTTCCCTGCGGGAATGCATGGAAGGGCTGAGAGCTCTACAAAATCTGTCCAGTCCAGGGAGAGTTTGGATGCTTGGCTGTTGAGGAAAGCCTCCCAGTGCCTCTGTGCTACCAGCCCTCTGCCATCTGCCTCCTCTCTGGGGGTTCTCTGTGTTTGCTGGGAAGGAGAGGCTTGAAAGCACAGGATGGAACAGCCGTGCTTTCCTTGGGCTCAGCCCCAGACACTTGGCATTGTCCCATTCTGGAGGGTGGTGGGAAGGCCAGAAATAGGAGGAGGAAAAATTTCCAAGCAAGCTTTTGTAGAGACACTTAGTTAAGTGTTTCATGGCCAGTGCAGAAATGTTTGTTCCCTCCTTCCAGTCCAGCCTCACTGAAACCCAACCTAAGCAAGACTAGGAACTGGGGAAATGGTAATCAAAACTCCTCCACTGGCTGCCAGGCAGAAGAAAATCTGGCTGCAGCTGCTGAAATCTCCATGCTTTGAACTGCAGGGATACATCCCATCCTTTTGTGGAAACCATCTTATGCAGCTGAGATAGAAGAAACCACTGCCCACTGGGCATGGGCAGCTCCAACCTCTGCCATGGCAGGAGTGGCTTTATCAGCAGGAATGGGAGGAGGGAAAGGCACTGCTAAGCCAGGCTCTGCTATGGAACAGAAAATGCATTGTTTGTAAATCAGACTTTGGAACAGCTTAAGACTTAAACACACCTTCAGTTAATTAACCTTTTCGCAGAGCAGCACAGCCCCAGAGCTAATAAAGCAATATTCAGTCCCATGACTGCAGATTTTGCTAGAAAACAAACGAATTTTCCAGGGCTAGGTTTGATAGTGCTGATCAAGAAGTTGGGTTGGGTTCAAATTCATCTCAAAATTCTAGTGGGGATTCAAAAATGGTTGTAACACCTAGAGAAAATTAACTTTAGCAAAATATTTGTACACAGCACGTGTCGTAAAGCCCCAAATGGTCTGAGAGATGCTCTTTAATAAGCTCTATGAGTGTGTTTCCCAGCAGTGTGAACCTTGTGGGGTTTGGTTTTTATTGCCTTATTAAAATATGTTTCCAGGATGCTCGAACAACATTTTTGAGCCATTTTTTGTGCACAATTACGCTTTCTTCCCTATGCTAATTTTATTCCTGTAAATGTGTCCTCTGGACCAAGCAGTGCCTCCATCATGGTAACACAACTGTTTTCATGTCAGTGTTAATGAAGGATGGAATTTGATCCTTTGAGGTCAGTACTTGACCTCTCACCCTCCATCTCTGGGGCTGAGAAGACTCTGCAGTGGTTACTGAGTTTCACCAGGTGAACATTGTCCTCCAGTAAACGAGGAAATGGCACCAACATTCCTGAACCAAAGAGAAACTGAGGACTGGGAATATTTCTTCGGCACGAGAGGAATGAGAGCTGGAAAAGAGCTGCTGCAGCAGGACCCCCTGACCCCACCTGACTCAGAGCTGCGCTTGTGCTCAAATACAGGCAAGAGTCATTAACTTCTCCAAATGGAACAGGGCAGTGGTGTAAAGCCACACTGGAAGTGATGGGATGCCAGCATTTCCAGGAGTGGGATTCTCCCGGCAGGCTGCTCTTGCCAGCAGTTTCTCTCTAGAATATATCCAGGGATGGTTTCCATATCTCTGTCCATATGTTCACTCATAGCAGCCATAGCAGAGACACGACTTCATATGCTTTATAGGGAACGTGGTCCTGCAAGTGGATTAGTGCATGGCCCCTCCTGTTGTGGAGAGCAGCTCGTCCCTGACCTCCAGGAATTCCTTCCAACCAACACTTCCGTGATTCAGTGATCCTTGGTCTTTTCCAGTAGCAGGGCCTTGGCCTGACAGCTGTTGGGTTTGTAAGTTATTTCCCTGGCTTGGACTGACTCCGAGCCAGAGGAAATAAAGCTGGCAGGATCCCCTGGATCCCTGCTCTGCAATATGTCCCTGCCAGGGCCTCCAGAAAGGGTGCAGAGCAGGAGTTAATGGCCCAAAATCCCAGGGGAATCCTGGCTCCATCCCCTCCAGCCTCCTGGGTACCAGAACTGAAGGAGATCCAGGACAGTGACAGACACAGACCACAAAGCCAAAAACGCAGCCTGGAGAGGAACCACACGTACAATGAAGTACAATTCCTTGATAATTTTCCTCCTGGAATGACACAACTCTACCTCCCCCTGTCCCAGCACAGCCAAAACCTCCCTGTTATGGAGTTATTTAGCCAAAGTTGAAGTTATTTAGCCAAAACATGAAAAAAATACATAACTATCTCGTATCATTCCTCACTTACACTTCAGTTTGAGACCCAATTTTATTCTCTGATGCCCAAGAAGGAGATTCAGCCTGCTGGATTTTCATTCTTTATTTTAAAATGTTTTCACAAGTAGCAAAACTTTGTTCCTTTGAGGAGAAAACCCACAGAATCACTGACTATTTTCAGAATGGCTATAAACATGGATGCTTTGCCACAGATTTGTATCAGAATAGAAAGTAATATAAATATATAAGTCTGTATATAAAAATAAATGATTTGGTACTAACAGATCCAACTAGGACAATTTCAATGGGGGACAAAATAGGAAAAAAAGTAACATCACAATTTTATAAATCCCCTTCTTAAAGGCGTTCAAAAATTTTGACCTTCCACTGAGCGTGAAAGAGGGAAGGAGAACCCCAATTGCCACAATGTCTGCATTTTGTATCATTCATGTCACACTTGAAGTTATCATGACAAGGCTGATATGAAAGTGTCAGAAGTGCATAAACTCTGGGGTTTACATAGAAGAGGACGCATATTTAAAGCATATTTTATGTTTTAGGGCTGTTACCTCACTTTACTCCAAAATGATTATTTTAGCCAGTAAGGCAAATTTTAACTGCTTGAAATAAAGCAACAGTCCCACAGCAATAAGACTTGTCTGGTGTCTGAGCCAGGCAGAAAAAAAGGGCCAGGGCACCACGAGTAGGGTGGTAACAAGATCCCAACATCTTTCACCATTAACTGGAATATGGCATTTACCTACTGGAATTCAGAAGGTTTAGAAATTCAGCTCCTATTTTTGCTTTTATCTTCCAGAACCAACATTTTCCCTTCAGGTGATCACCAAATCATCTATTACCAACTTCATTATTTTTCCTGCTGTTATTTTTCACTCATTTGCAACACGCCAGGTCCCAAACCACCCACCAGGACTCAGGCAGGAGACACCACACCGGGTTCAAGCTGCCAAAATTCCCGCTGCTTTTGGTACAGCCTCCCCAAAAGAGGGTGCAGGGGGCAGAGGAAGAGAACCCACTCCTGTTTTCTGCATCCCGGACAAGGGGTCAGTGCCCAGCTGGCCCATCCCGGCCGTCTCTCCCCCGTCCCACCCCGCAGATCCCTCTCAGGGAGCCAGCACGGGCCACGGCCTCCCTCTAGCGTCCACAGCTCCTCTGCCTCAGCTCCTCCGCCTCAGCTCCTCCCCAAACCAGCCACCAGAGCCCTTCCAGCTCTCCAGGCAAGCGGGATCTGGTTTGGTCCTGCGAGTAATGACCCATAATTGATGTTTATAGGCACTCCAGAGTATGAGAATTCACCGAGCCCCCGGAGCGCCCGGGGATCAAGCAGCCTCCTGAAACTCTCCTACAATTAACATTTAACGATTATGCAGAAAGCCCGAGGCAAGCAGCTGTCTCCACTTCTGCAGGAGAGGCCCGAGGGCAACAGGACATGAAGACAAACTATTTAGAACCCCCCTCATCAGCTTAACTTTCCTCCTTCAGTGCCCGCAGACTTCTCACTTGTTCCAGCAAGACAGAAAGGTGCAAATGTCACCTTGGCACGATGGCAGCAGTTATTTTTGCAGGAAAAAACATCCAGCTCGTGGGTTTATCTAAAAATGGTTCCTGATGCCAACGTGATGTGCGTGAAGGAGCTTCCCCGCGCTCAGGTCAAGGGCTGCTGCTGCCAGCCAGGAGGAACCAGCAGCAGCATCCCTGGTGAAAGGATCATTCACTGACAGGGTGGGTGGGGGGGAAGCAGAGGCACGTTTCTGTCTGTGCCTCAGCCCCAGTAATGCTTTAAAACAAATCTAAAATTAAAAAAAACCCTAAAAATTACACTCAGATGTAACCTTAAAAATGTAAACTAGTAAAACATTAAGCTGTAAAATCAACATGAGTCAGTGGCTGAAGTAATGAACAAAGGGGCAGAGTTCAAGCAACTGCAGATACATAAGCAAAATTCCTCTCTTCCCCAATTTAAAAAGTAAATATTTACTGTAAATCTGTTTAATATACCATGGCTTTAAAACACTCATTTGGGCAGAACTCCTGACCCCCACCCCGGAGCACTGATGAGATCTACCAGTCATTCTGCAGGATTCAAGGCCAAGTCTAACAAGAACAGCCTCAACATTGCTCCAAGCCTTAGTCACAGAAACACAGTAATTATTGTGGCAGTTAATTAAAACAGGCTCTTTCTGTTAATGTAACATTTGCCTTTATATTTTAAACAGCCCAATTTTCAATTTAATACACTATTCAGTATTTATCCCTGTGCCTTTGAGGCATCCCAAAAGCTGCTGGGTTTTGGAAGGCTTTTAAAGATGAAAGAATTTAGGATCTGGACCCACTGAGGTGCACAGCTTGGTTCCTGGTCAAGTCAATGAGCAGCAGCAGCCCCTGCTTTGTGTAGTAAGGACTGTCACTGAAAATATGTATTTCAAGACTGAAGGCTCTATTGTAAAGATTTAATAATATCTAGGAATATTAAATGTTGGTATAAGATCACAGAATTAAATGTGACCTGAACAGAGACAGACATGACCAATATGGTACAATCCCACCAACCCCAGACTTTACTGTAGCTTTTAAAACAATAGGAAATGCTTGTTTGACAAAGCCTGCAGTTTGAGGCACTGAGGCCTTGCTCATGCTGACAACAGAGCCTTCCTGTATCAGACACTCGGTCTTTAAATGTGTATTTCCAGTATTTTCAGTGAAAGTGCTGACTGCACAAATGCTGGATGCTGCTGCTCACTGACTTAACCCAGAACACCCACACAGTTGCTCTACTTCCCCTCAGAGTTATGAAGAAGTGCTAGAGAAAGTTCTTTGTTCCCAAGCACGGATTGCAAGTATCCAGGTTCTGAAGTGGTGGAAGACCCTGTGTGAACGACCCCCCGCAGCCCAAAGGCACATCCAGGGCAGGTTACAAGAGCACCCAGCTCTCGGGACTTTGAGTTATGGCAACATGAGGGATTTTGCCAGTCTCGTCCAGAACCATTTTTTGGTGCAAGGGTTGGTGTAATCACAGATGGTGATGAACCGTAAGATACTTGGAAACTCGTTCTTCATGGATTTGTACTTGACTGGGATCAGCCGTTTGCTACGAGCACCTAAAAGACAGGTCACACAGGCAGAGGTTACACACAGCCACAGCTGGACCCAAATCCATTTCCTCCCCACCACGGCACACACATCACCAGATCCAGGTTTGCTCCTGATTATGCTCTCATTACACTGCAACCAGCTCTCACCCTGCAGAGCAAGTTTCGAATCCTGATTTGCTCAGGTTGCAGATGTTCCCCAGCCAAGGGGCTGCAAGGAATCCCCCTGCTAACATGAACTGCTGGTTTGGAGGCCAGCAGTTGAGATGAGATGAGAACCTCTCCCTGTGCCTGCTGCTGCTTAAAAGGAGCAGATCTTGTGCAGAGGAACTCCTCCCCTTGTAGTTCTCCACAGGACTCCTGCCATCACCTGCACTGTGCTGCTCAGTGCAACTGATGTCACTGAGACCTGGATAAGGCAAATAACCGATATTTCATAACTGCAGCAGATGCTGGAGTAATCCATGGAGCTCCCAGAACCTGCCACCAAACCCTTCTGTGCATTAGTTACACCCTGCACAAACAGCTGAATCTGTGAGTTCTCCAGTTCTACAGTTCTGTGTGTAAAATGTATTTACACACATTTTTACTGACAGAGTCATTCTATTCAGATGGAACTTCTCCTGTTCTAATGGAAGGTGATGCCCACAAGAAACTGGTGAAGAACTAAAAGGACTTTGCTACAAATCTTGATGACTGGGGGCTGATGCAACGTGCTGGGGATGTTCAGTGGATTACTGCCATCATAGGAAATTGTTGTGTCAAGGAAGATGCAGCTAATTCCCAGCTCTGCCACTGGCTTCCAGTCTAACCCCTGGCATGTCATTTACAATACCATGTCAGATGCCTTATCTAGAAAAGAAGGTTGAGGTGCAGACACTCCTCCTGATATTAGATATCCTCCATACTATTAGGCTGGGCTGCACTTACTCCCCAGCAACATAAACAAGTGTAGAATAACTAGAGGTTAGAGAAGAGCAATCAGAACAAACCTGACAGAAGTAAATTGGTGGCTTTTCAATTCAGAACAAAATATATAAAAAATTTTCCAACCTAAATTGAACACTCATTCCATATTTTATTTAACCTATCCACAACACTCAAAGATCCCTACAAAAATCATAGAATCATGGAATGGTTTGGGTTGTGAGAGAGCTTAAAGATCATCTAGTTCCACCTCCCCTAGATCACACCTTCCACTAGACCAGGTTGCTCAGAGCCCCATCCAGTCTGGCCTTGAAATCTGCACGTCCATTACCTGACATCCTACTTCCAGCATTTACTCACACCCTAAATTTACTGTAATGCTTTTCTCTTTAGTAGCGAATTTCCCTGTATGGATCTCAAAGCCCTTCACAGGCCTGACATGCAGCTCTGACATCTCCAGAGCAGGCAGCATTATCCCACTGACAGCTGGAGCACTGCAGCACAGGCAGCTCCTCGCTCACAGTCACGTGGAAGGTCAACAGCAGGGCAAGGGACCGAGCCCAGGTCCCTGCCTGCACAACCAAATTATGAAGCCAGTTAGTTCCAATGGTACAGAGCCCACTGACCTCAGATGCTTCAGGTGTCACTGCACTGAAAATAATAATGTGCAATTGTAAATGGGAGTATTTGTGAGATCTTACCTGGGGAAAGACTAAGAGCAAATTTGGTCTGGAAATCACATTCATCGCTTTCCAGGTAATCATCTGAAATGACAACCACCATCCTCCGACACCTGGAGATGAAGAGTCAGGGGAAAAAAAGATAAAATGTCAGAGGAGATGGTTCTCGATCTCATGGATAGAAGCACGTACTGCTCTGAATTGCTGTGGTGGAGAAGGACCTGGCAGCTGTGTTCCAGCATGAATTAGCTGCAGAGCAGGAATGACTGACAGACAGATAGCAACGTTACACACAAAAACCTGATTACAGGTAACACTCATATACCAAAAAATGAGGAAACAGCAAAGTCCAGATTGTCTGTGAAACCTTCATGTGATCCTCTGTCTATATATGACAAATAAGGCCAAGAAAAGTGATCAAACATAAGCAGCATCACTAAGCAGCACCCTCCCTGGTGAACACAATGTATCAGCATGTTGGGGAATGCTCGAGTCTTGAGCCAAGAGCATAAAACAAACCCCATAAAGACATTCTTGTGGATTTTTGCTGTTTCACTGGCACCACACCACAGACATCAGGGTAAACTGACTGTAATGTTCCATTACACCCAGCTTGCCCCAACAGCCACGGCTTACTTACCTCCTCTCTATAAGTTCTCCACTGATGGACCACACACAAGTTCCTGGCAAGACATCCCGATCAAATACACAGAGCTTCAGTTTGAACTCTGTTTGCTCCAGCTCCCTGATCATCTCCTGGACAAACTGCAGGTCTTTCTGACAGTAGCAGATGAAGGCATCAAATATCTCTGTTCCGCTCCCTGAAACCATTAAAAATGTAGCTGTCATCTCCTGCTAGAAATGAAGTTCACTCCTCTAGTGAGCTTTCACGAGCTCCCACAGACTTTGACTCGGAATCACGAGCTCTGACAGACAAGCTCTGGCCAAACTTGTGAAGGTAATTTAACATTTTATTAGACCAGCTGCCCTTCAGCCCAGACTCCTGTCCCTAACAGGGCTGGCAGGAGGTAAAACACGTCTGTGCCCCGACTGCTTTCACCAGCCAGGCTGTTCACACACACCCACACTGGCTGGCAGTGCTCAGGGAAGGGCAGCTGAGATGCAGACAGGCAAAATCTGTGGAGGTAATAACATCCAGCCACAGGGAGACAAATGGGAGAGAGTCTGTGAAGAGCTGGAGGGAGCAGAATACCCCAGAGGATGCAACTCAGAGCCCCAGCGCTCTGGGATTTCACTGGGGGTTAGACATCTAAAATATCCTCGTGGCTCCAGGTCCTCGTTCTCTAGTTCAGCTCACAGAGATCCAAACTTCCCAGCCAAAACCTTCCTGCAGGCCCTTCATCCAGCAATGTCCTGCCATACACTGTCCATGGAGCTACAGGGTCAATCTTGAAATCTGGAACCTGCCACTTTTACGGCTAAGATGTCAGACCCGGGTACCTGAAGTCGTATCCTAAGTAAATGGACCTGTTTTCCAATTACACTAATGGCTGGCAGCTCTTGTTTATTTAGCAGTTATCCAAATAGTAAACTGCTGCATTTTAAGGGCAATGTCTCTCATAATTAAGCACCTTAATACTGCTGGATATCTTCCCACCGTGTTATTTTTTTTTTCCATATCAATGTCACTACAGATATTTTCAATTTTTTATGCCAGTTAAAGCCTATCACAGTGAAAAAGTAGGTCAGAGACTCTAAAAGCTGCTGAGGAAAGTATCAACCCGGCAGGCAGATCCAGCCCAAGATGCATCCAGTGAAGCAGAAGGGGAATGTCTGCCAGGTCAGTCGAACTGAGGGTGCTGCTGGAGGGGCACGGCGCTAACCTGGGGGTCACATCAGCCAAAGCTGCCGTGTACAAACACCAGCACATTGGTCTGTGGACATTTGGGGAGGGTTAATGATGTCCCCACCCCAAAGGGGGTCAGGCTGGCCAGCACACACACGTGTGCACGCACATGGCTGCACACGCAGGGCTGCACGTGGTGGCACATGCACGTGGCTGCCCAGGCAGAGCTGCACACACAGCCCAGCAACACACACACACACACACACACACAGAGAACTGTATTTCCTCTCTCTGCCCACTTCACAGCCAGCCCTACTTTAAACCCGCTTCCTTTTCACTCAAGGTGGTTCCACCTGCCAAAGGCAGAGCAGGGAAATCAGCTCTGACATTCCTCCCCCTGGACTCCAACCCCCTGAGCTTTCAGCAGCTGCTCTGCACCAGGCTGGGCTAAGGGACATGTTTCTGGGAAGTCTCCTCCCTATACATGTCCAGTGTCTCTGTGCCAGCCTGTTCCCAGGTATGGCATTCCCCAGGGCTGCTTTTCCTCTCTGCTCTAGGAAACAGAAAAAATGAAAATGCCCTGTGACTATCAGGCAAAGCATTCCGGCCTGGGTTATTAAAAGTCACGGGAGGAATGAAAGCAAACAGGTTTTCTGCACTTCTCAAGGGGATCTGCTACAGCTGAAGGCCATTCCCACACGAGGCATGAGGCCTTCCAGCAATGGAACCATGGGCACTTACCGTACGGATCATCCCTGATGGTGATGCCCATCAGCTCCGAGGTCTTTGGCACGCTGCTGTCTACTGCTGGCACTTGAAGAGGCTGGTTGGCCTGCTCCTGCTTCCTCTGCAAGTACTTCCTACAGTCCTCCTCTGCAAAAACACAGAACCAAGGCAAGAAGCTCCTGTGATGTGGGGTTACACTGCTGGTGTTCATTAAAAAAGGAATAGCTATTTCATGGATCAGGGATATTAGAGGAAAACACCCTCTCTGGTTTTTTTGGTATGTAGAATTTCTCTTACCCCTTTCTGAACCTCTTGATGATGCCTCCACTACCTCCTCTAGCAATTAATTCCTGAAGCTCACTCTTGCTGTCTAAAGAAATACTTCCTTTTACTTGTTTTAAACCAATCTCCTCCTATTACCCTTGGTTCTAGTGTATCCCAGTATACCTTTAACAGCAGGCATCAGGCACAGAGCAGCTCCCAAATCTGCTGCCTGCTCTCATTGTTCTGCATTTTGGAGAATGTAAAAATCACAAAATAGTTGGGGAGGATTCTCAAGTAAAAGTCTTCACAGTGTCAATGTCTTCTCCCAAATAACAGACCACAGGACAAGAGGAAATGGCCTCAAGTTGCAACAGGGGAGGTTTAGATTGGATATTAGGGAAAAATTCTTCACTGAAAGGGTGGTCAGGCATTGGAACAGGCTGCCCAGGGAAGTGGTGGAATTGCCATCCCTGGAGTTATTTAAAAGATGTGTAGATGTGGCACTTGGGAACATGGTTTAGAGGTGGGGTGGCCTTGGCAGTGCTGGGTTAATGGTTGGACTCAATCATCTTGGAGGTCTTTTCCAACCTCTTTAGCAACTCTCTGCAGACATACACAAGCTGATTCACACCCTTGGCCTTTGTCAGCCACGACAACTGCAGGTGGCAATGAGTATCTACACTCAGCACACACAGGAGGACACTAAAATTTCAAGGAGCCCTTGAAACAGCTTTTATGTTGTGCAACACCTACAGGGGATCCTCTTATCCAAGGCAGAGTGGGTGTGTACCCCACTTTGGGGTAACTGAAGGGCAAAGCCCTGTCACAGTCGCTGCTGTGAACTTCCCAATCAGGACAGTGACAGACACAGATCTACTATGAATAGACTTGGTTTAAAAATAAATGATAAACCTAAATGTTAAATCTTTGGAGAAGCAAAAAGAAACCCTGCAGCCTCTTCTACTCTGCAATTACAGAAGAACTGAAAGTAAAAGGAGATTTGAAACCAGGAATTAAGAAAAAGATAAAACTCTCTAGAGCCTTTGCCTTTGCTTAAGATTAAAACAAAAACCTCAAGAAGTATTAATCAGGAAACTCCTGATCACTCAGAGGGTTTGGCTGGCACAGTTGCAGAGCTCGTGGTGCAACAGCAGAGTAGAGGATCCCTGATCAGCATGAGCAGGTCTGCAGGAGGCCCATCCTGAGGCTCCATCCCCTGCTTCTGTCTCAGCTTTGCATCTTGTGACTGGATTATCTCCACTCTAATAAGGCTCAGATCTGATCAGGGCTTTTCCTGAGGCTGAGACATTCCCAATCCGCCTTTCTCCTCCCCCCTGCCTCCCCAGTCCTGCAGGGGGAAAAACCAGCCACACTCCTTACCAGCCAGAAGGTTCAGATTTCAGGTCTTCCCTCACTAAACTCAAATTCAGGCCCCACCTGAGGCCTGTCAGGTAAGTCAGTGTCTTTGAAATCATGATTGAAGCCACTCTGAATTTGCCAATGGGTTCAGCAATCATAGGTTTATTTTAAGTGCAAACTGGGGGCCCTATGGCATTGCAGCTACCAAGAGGTCCCATGAGGCTGTAGGGATGAAAGGCATTCACTGATTTGGGATGGATCAGGTCCCCAGCTGGAAACAGCACCTGACTGTACATATTAATGAGAGTGAACAAAGATCAGGGATGACTTTGGGACTGTAAAGATAAGGGATGCTACACAACAAAACCAAGTAGCAAGAAACTCCTCCAAGCTAAGCTGTCCCACTCCACCCAGTACCTAACCGGCCTTACGTTCCTTGAATAGTCTAAGAAAAGCCTGAAGTATTGGAACAAAAGAATAAAAAAATGAAACCTAAAGAGCAAAATGAGTAGCATGATGAAGAGACAGAGAAAACAGATCAAGTAACTGTCAGTCAGGAAAGCAGCACTTTTATAACAGGTCAGGGCAGAAACAAAAATCATTGGGTTTCAGCAGGAAAGAGCACAAACCTTTCGAAGCAAAGAGCTTCAGGCGCCTAAAGATGATTGTACAGTGAAATAAGCTGCTGAGGAAGATCACAGTTAGGGCAGAGCTGCTGGGACATCAACACTGATGTCTTCTGATCCTGAGCTGGACCCCACTGCAGGAGTCCCAACTGTGCACACAAAGATGCCCCTGGCATCAGGAAATACCGTGCACAAGAGCGCACGAAACTGTCCATTTCCTTTCCTCTTATGAGCAAATACCTCCAACTTCTGCAAGAGCTCTGAGCACCAGCACAAGGTCACAGGCCCTCACTGCCACCCTCACCCAAAAATAACAGCAGAGAGGAATGGCTGATTGGTCAGACTGAGGGTCCATCTGCCTCAAGCACCATCCTATCTCAAGCACTGCACAAAACCATATGTCTAGGGGGGAGCATAAGAATAAAATAAGCTTACAGAGATATTTCCCTAAAATAATTCATCTTTTAGATATAATCTACAATCTATTTATTATAACCTATCTTTTGGATGATTTAGAGGTAAGGAATTTCCTGAGCCAGAGACAGGATTTTTGTGTTGAACAGCCCTTAGTGGGTCTTTTTCCCAATAATTTATCTGTCTCCTCTTATCAGTGTGACCTAACTCTGGGCAAAACTTATGACTTTCCTGCACCCCAGGTTCCTCCCACTCCTTCTGCTGAAGTCTATTTTGGCGTTGGCAAAGCCTATCTACCACAATTCCTTCCACTGGGCCAAATCCTGAGCTCAGGGCCAGAGCCATCCTGGGTGATTCCAATGTTTTTGTGAAGCCCCAGCTCTCTTGCACAGCTGGAAGCCTCCCCTAATTTGTTAGGAAACTCTGATCAGAGGATCACAAAGCACACTGATGCTTTTGTCTTTCCCAAAACCTGGTCTTTAGACTGTGTTCTTAACTAGGAAGAACCACAGGAGCAAAGGGAAGTCCTCCACCACTTCTTGGTCAGGCTCTCTACAGTGATGGATTTCTACATCTTCCTTTATCTCTGTGAGTAACAGGAAGTGAGATTTATTACTTCCTCATCATTAACCCAGTAAATGCTATTGTACAACACAGGAGTCTCTGGCTTTGGAAGTCCTTTGGCAAAAAAATTACCCTTCTGATAACAGCTGGCTTCCCTCCAAATTTCTCTGATCGCAAAGAGTACGAAGAGCCTATAAAGAAAAGACTATCAAAACACCACAAGGGCCTTATCCTTCTCACTGACTCGCCCCATTTTTTTCAGTTTGCATGGAAACTTTTTCCCCCGACATCATCCAGTTCCACACATACCTCACCTCCCCCAGTAAATATCTTCCTATCACACTATATCCACACATTATAATTTTCACACTGTCTGGTGTCAGTGCAAGCTGTCTCCTGGCTGACCTGGCCCAAAGCATCCTTTGACACACAGAAACTTTATTACTGAAGGTTTGGGAAAAGACGGGGCTTCAGGTCCCTTTGCACTTATCTCCTGGAAACTACATGAGGCTCCTGTGAATCCCAGAATGGTTTGGGTTGGAAGGGCTCTTAAAGATCATCTCATTCCAAGCCCTCTCCTGTGAGCAGGGACACCTTCCACAATCCCAGGTTGCTCAGAGCCTCATCCAATGTGGCCTTGAACACTTCCAGGGATGGGGCATCACAGCTTCTCTGGGCAACCTGTGCCAAGGCCCCATGACCTGCACAGGGAAGAATTTCTTCCTAATATTTAATCTAAAATCCTAATATCTAATCTAAATCTCTTCTGTTTTAGTTTAAAACCATTCCCCCTTATCCTATCACTATCCATCCATGCAAGAAGTCCCTCTCTCCTCCTCTTTTTTATAAGCCCCCTCTAGGTACTGGAAGGGGCTCTAAGGTCTCCCTGCAGGCTGAATATCCCCAGCTCCCATCCTGTCTCCATAGCCGAGATGGTCCAGCCCTCGGAGCATCCCCGCGGCCCTCGTGAAAACACCGAGGATGTCACTCCACAGCCTGGAAAGGGCTTTTCTTTAAAAATCGCGTGAATTGAATGAAATTTGTTTCTTAACATCACCTCCCCGGTCAGAGCAGCAAAGACAGGCAGAAGCAGCAAAGAAAGACCGGCAGGAACAGCAAAGACCGGCAGGAGCAGCATCCCCTCCCTACGAGGCATCACGGAAGCAGCACCGGGGGCAGGCTCGGTCCCACTGCCCCACCAGCGCCGGGATTCCCGGGGCCGTCCCGGTCTGTCTCGCTCTCCCCGTCCCCTCCCCGGCGCTCTCCCGTCCCGGGCTCCTCACCCACGCTGCCGGACAGGTCCATCAGCACATCATCGCGACCCAAGCGCCGCAGCACGTCCAGGAGCTGCCCCACGGTGGCACCGCCGGGGCAGCGCCCCGGCCACTCCTCCAGCAGCGCGGCCGTGGGGTCGGGCAGCCCCTCCAGCCGCCGAATCTCTAGGAAGCCGCATCCCAGCGCCTCCGCCAGCGCCGTCCAGTCGGCGGCCGCGGCCGCCCGCGGGTTGAGGTAGAGCCCGAGGCGGCGGCGGACGCCGTAGTTGAGCGCTACCAGGGGCACGGCGTGCAGGTCCAGCGGGACGGGGCTGGAGCCGGGCTCGGAGCCGGGCCCGGGCTCCGCCGGGGCCTTGGCCATGGCCGTGCCGCTCCCCGAACTTCCCCTTCCCGGCACTTTCGCTTCCCGGCTCGCCCCGCCTCCCTCCTCCCGCCCCCGCCGGGCTCTGCCCGCCCGCCCTCGGGGTGCGCGGCCGGGACGGGGCTTGGGGCAGCAACGGGAGGGGCAGCGGGACTGCTGTGCCCTGTGCTCGGCACTGGCGAGGCCACACTCCCAGCCCTGTGTCCAGGTCAATTCGGGAAGGACACTGAGGTGCTGGAGCAGGTCCAGAGAAGGGCATCGAAGCTGGGGAAGGGTCTGGAGCAGGCTGGGGGAAAAGTGCCTGGAAGCTGCCCAGTGGGAAAAGACCTGGGAGTGCTGGTTGACAGTAACTGAACATGAGCCAGGTGTGCCCAGGTGGGCAAGACAGCCAATGACATCCATTGGCTTGTATCAGGAACAGTGTGGGCAGCAGGACCAGGGAAGTGATTCTGCCCCTGTACTCGGCACTGGTGAGGCACCTCCAGTACTGTGTGCAGTTCTGGGCCCCTCACAAGAAGAAAGACATTGAGGTGCTAGAGCAGGTCCAGAGACAGGCAAGGAGCTGGTAGAGGGTCTTGAGCACAAATCCTGTGAGGAGAGGCTGAGAGAGCTGGGGTTGTTTAGCTTGGAGAAGAAGAGGCTCAAGGGATACCTTCTCACTCCCTGACAGGAGATTGTAGCCTGGTGGGGGTCGGTCTCTTCTCCCAGGCAAATAGTGACAGGACAAGAGGCCCAATGGATCCCTAGTGGTAATAAATCCAGAGCCACGTCCCATCTTTGGGGGTCAAAGTGGGGAGGACCTGGGCTGCCCCTCAGGTGACAGTGCTCCACGACAGCACAAATACTGCCATCTCCAAATTCTCAAACTCTTCCAGCAAGTAAAACATTCTGCATAAAAATAAAATTATAAAAATAAAATTATGTAAAAATGGCCAGGGAACCATTTTAAACTGTTTTGACACCAAGTACAAAGCACAATTCTTGGCTGTGAACTGAACACTTTCCAGCTTCCAGACTGGCACCAAAAGCAACAGGGTGCTGCGAAGACTTCAGGGAAGTTTTCAAGAGGAACATACTGATTCTCCAAAGTATTGCAGAAGACACAGTAAAAGAACATCCTCTGTCTGTGGATCTCTGTGGAAATGAGGAAAATAAAATATTCTGCTAGCAAAACTTTTAATTGCACAACAATTTGTTGTTTTAAAGCTTAAAAACATGAAAAATTAGCATAAGAAGGTTCAGTTCTGACTGAAAACCTGCCACATAAACCATCATCTCCAGTTTGTAAGAAGAGGTGCTGATAGACAACCTCCAAATACCCACATCCAGAGGGTGTCCCAGGGGACACTGGACAGGAGATTCCGAGTTACTTTACTGTGGCCAGACCCATACATAGGTTCTTCAAGGACATTAACCATTATCCAGGCATCCTGAGCAGCGAAACCTCCAGCTGAGTGCTCCTCCAGCCTTCAGCAAACATCTTTCTTGCGAGAGAAGTAAAAATCTATCCCTCTGTCCTTGTGCTGCGCTGGCACCTGTGCAGGTCCCCTCCTGCCCCTGGGATGGGGACTCCCTCCCTGTGGCAAATGAAACATGAACAGGGAGAGATTTACTGATGTTTCAGAGTGAATCTGGTCCCAAAGCAGTGCTAAAATGCAGGAAAGCGTGGACAGGGCGCTTCTGCTCCCCAGGTCCACTACAAAGGCAGGAAGGCCCAACGGGCACAGCTCTAGGTTTGGATTTAGGAAACCAGGGTTTCTGGTAAGGTGAGCTGGAAAAGCTGATCAAAATGGAGCTCTTGCCTGGCAGAGGAGCTTTTTGACTTCCAGTTTCGTCACTGCCTGAAACCAGTGTCTCACCAAGGAGCTACTTCACAGAGTCCTTTCTCTGATCCCAGAAGGTCAGTAATCCAGGCCCTCCAACAGCATGGCCGAAGCAGAAGGCTTTGCTTCCACTAAACTTTCCACTCTTGGCAAAGGAATCTGGCCTGAAAAAATTGGTACTGCACCTTGGGATTAAAACCTGAAACGGAGACATGCTTCATTCTTCACTGAATGTAGTATGACATCTAAATTTGAGCCTCCACAAAGTATCCTCACCTGAGAGGAGGCAGGGACAGTGCAGAGGGGGAAGGCAAAATGCTGAAAACTCCTTGTAATACACAAGAATTGGTTACATCCATTTCCTTCCACACCCAACTCCTCCAAGAGCAGCAGCCCAGGCAGCAGATACAAGCCTTGACATGCTACAGGATCAGCATCTCAATCTGTCCCTGTTCTAAAGGGGAGATACACCCAAAAAGCAAAGTGCAAGGGCCGGTCCCCATAGTTACAGGTCTTCTGACTCTAGTTTGGGTTCACTCAAGCATGGCAGGAAGTTGGTTGTTTTTCCACCTCCTGAACACAGAGAACAGTGAGTTGGCTCCTTTCTGTCCACCTACATCAGGGGGTGGTCAGGCTATGCAGGCCCTGGAGATTCCCCATCCCTCCCTGCTGGCCAGTGGGGATGCCAGGAAGGATGCTCTGAAGGACATGCTCTGGCTAAGCCCTGCTGACTATACAAGGCTGATGGGATAGAGAAGCAGCTAAAATTTACATCATTCACCACAGCAGGTAGGACAGACAGAGCTAAATAACCCTGGCTGCAGAGTCCCTGTGCAGAGCTGGACCACTGCTGTGAGGTAACATGACTTTGCATTAAAGCCATTTTTCCCTTTATACCCGAGAGAGAAGAACAGAACTCACAGACACTCCTACAGACACAGAGCAGCCCCCCTGGAGCCCTCCCACCCCATCCCAACCTTCCCAGTACTCACAGGCCTCTGGCTGATGTATCGGCTCCACTCTGGGGCTGTCACAACTGGCTGTGGGTAGGTCTCACCTAGAGTTACTCCTGCCTGGGAGAGAGCAGCACTACTCAGTGCCCAAGGGCTGTGGATATCTGCTCCCTTTATGCCCTGTAGCTCTGGGACCCACAGCCGGACGTAATCCCCCTGCAAAGAGAACACACGGGACAGGATCCATTCAGTAACAACCTCCAAGTGCTTCCCGGCAAGGATGTTTCTCAACAGGAAAGAGAGAAGCTGGATTTCCAGGTAGAGAAGCTGGTGTAGTACAGCATCAGTTACTTCTGACAACCCTTAGCCCCTCCTGCATTAGTGCCTAAAGAGAGACTTGGATGCTGGAGTTCTCCCAGGATCACTCTGCAGGCAGAGGAGGGAGACAGAGGTGCATTTTTGGTACTGTTCACCTGTCCTGTTTAGGACATCCTGTGATGAAGTCACTCTCAAAAAGTGTCCAGTGACTGAAGGAAATTAGGATGACTAGCTCAGCTGCACATTCTTGTGTTCCTGAATCTCTCCTATTAACTCTACTTCTGTGTCTCTTCATAGGACTAGTTTCAGATTTCTTGTCAAATCCTGCCAGCTACAGTGCTGACAGGCAATAGTACAGCCTGCCAAGAAGCTAAGGAATAGTGGTGGGAGCAGGTAATCCAGTATGTGAGCAATTTATCTGCTCCCACCACATAGAGAGTCAGAGGAGTCACAGGTTTAATCTACTCTCCAGCACCTCCCAAGGAGCAGCTCTGTCTCTCTGGTCCCTCCTGAGTTCTCCAAGAAGCTGCTCTGTGCTCAAGGAAATGTCTGTGTGAGGCACTGATGGGATGTGGCTGTGACCCAGAAGAAATGGTGATGAAACACTGAACACACAGACCAGGGCAGGGAGGGTGTGTGAAGCACCAGCCTCCCTGGGGACAGCAGCAGATTGTCAGTGTCACATCTTCCTGTGCACAACGAGGAACCTGCCTGGCTGTTGGCAAGGAGACACAGAACTGCTTTTGCAGCAGTAGCCACACAGCAGATTGATCTCCTCTGCTGCCTGAAAATACCACCTGTCCTTCACTGCACTGCCCATTGTAAAACAGCCAAACAAGACTCACATTCCCATCGTAATCCAGGCCTTGTTTAATCACGTTAAACTTCCTGTTGTCCCGTGGGTCGTTGCCAATGCCAGCGCTGTATAACCAGTTGCCATAATTGCTACAAACATCGTAATCCACCTTGAGAACACAGGGAGAAAACAGTGAGAAGAGCTGGGCTGGCCCTCAGTGAGTCTTCTCTCCCCGTCCACCCCTTAGCTCAAGGGAAAAATTCCTTGAATGGCAATCACTCTGGGGTGGTCAGAGCCCTCTCAAGTTGTAGGTACAGACATCTGGCTGCTTTTTACACCGGGATCAGCTTCCCAGGTCTCTTCACTTCATGGTCCTTAAGTCAGTGAGATCTATAAAAGTCTAACCAAAATCTCTTTCTCAATTTCCCTTTTTCAAAGAAAATCCTTCTCTTTCTGCCCTCATCTGGCAGACTTCACAACAACAAGCCCTAGATTTTGTGTGCTCATATTCTGAAACAGCAGCAGCCCAGAACATTTCAAATATGAGAGAAAATCCTTCCTGACCAGTTACCCAGACACCACAGACTGACAGAATCATGACTGTGTATAAAGATGCAAACAATGCAAACACTGCGGTTTTCTCCCACTTTTTTCTCATCAAGTTATTTCTCATCTAAGCAAATAAAAAGCTCTCAAGGATGCTCCTGTAAAATGAAACAAGGCTTCTGTAACTGGCACAAATGAGAGCATAACATAGTCCAATCCAAGGGCTCTTCAGCTGGGCAGCATGGCTTAAATCCAACACCAAGAGCTTTCCAGCTGTAGGACAATTCCAATCCAGCTCAGGAGGGGAGTGGAAGTGATAGCAAAGAGGGTGTGGGATCTCTGTGCATTCCTAGGAGGGGTGTCTGTGGTGCAAAAGCAGCAGCTGTGGCAAAAAGAGCTGGCTCAGTGTTGTTCTCCCTTTACTGCAGTCACAGCAACAACCAGTCCACACAGGGATTTTTCCAAAAATCCTAGCCACTCCTTAAAGTGAGGAGCTCAATGCACCTGGATGGCAGAAGGCACAGGAAACGGGCTGTGCCAAATTCCCCTTTCTCTGCAGAGACCCTGAATGCTGGGGTCAGGGTGATCAGCAGCCAGCTTTGCTCCCTGTGCTCCAGGCTTCCCCTTCCCAGCAGCACTTCCTCCAGCCCGTGAGATGAAGAGAAGAAAGATGCTATGGGAGGCCTGATAGTGTGATTAACATGCAGGAAAGCCTGTGTGGGAGGTAAGGGCAAATCCAAGGGGGACTGGAGGAGGCAGGCTCATTTCCCCCTCAGCCTTGCCCCTTCCTGGCATTCTCTTCTGTTTGTTTCTCTGCCTTTCCTTGGGGCCTGACCCTGGGAATGAAATCAGTGAAGTCAGAGCTGAGATATTCTCTGTCCAGGACACGAGAGGTCTCTGGCCTTTCCCCTGGCTTCAGTGGGTTGCAGAGGGTTCATGCCTCAGTCTCCCTGCCTGTCTGGTATGGATGGCACACACAAACACTTGGTGGGCCTTTGCTGGCAGTAGCAGGGATGAAACAGGCATTGCTTTTGCTTTTAAGAGGCAAGTGAGACCAATTTCAGCTCTGTACTGGCCTCTGCCCTCCTACAGCCATGTCTCCCCCACCAAGCTGATGTGTCCTGCAGACTACTCTGGGAATGCCACCAGGTTACAGTAACAGAGCTGGACACAAGCTTAAAGGATGGCACAGAAGGGCACAAGGATCAGCCTGTGGCACACCAATCTACAGTGGCCATCAGCACCTGGGGCTGCCACACCAATCTACAGTGGCCATCAGCACCTGGGGCTTCCCGAGGTGCAAGGGCCAGTGCAGAGTGCTAAATCCTGCTTCCAGCAAAGCTGGTAACATCCATGTCTACAGGAATAAATGTAGGTAACATAGGGAGAATCCTTCTAGTATGAGAACTTTCAGGTCTTCCTCACTTATGGAATAGGACCTGGAAGGTTCTTGCTCTTATCTGGAGAAGCATCATTGCATGCAGCTTCTGGAAGAAAACTCCTTCTGGAAGATCCTGAAGTCATGCACAGTGTTTTTGTGCCAACCCACTGCTGCTCACAGCACTGGCATGGGAAGAGAACCCAGATCTTCCTCCTGAAGCCAAAGTCATGTCAGAGCCCAGCTCCAAGGAAGCTCAAAAAAAAAAAAATATACATTCACAAAAAAAAAAAAAAGCTCTTTTAATTGCAGATAATGGTGAGGCAAGTGAGCTTTCTCTGTCCCTTCAGTACTCCTAGTGAGCAGAGTTCCCTGACCACCAGTAGCCTCTTGTATCCCACATACAAGATCTTTAATGTGAGGCTGACGTGAGTATTTGGCCTTTTTCAGTCAGTACCAGAAGGATCTATGGGGACTGAGGTCAGAGAAGTGACCCAGCCATTTAACTGAGCTTGCACAGCTGCTGATTGATATATGAGACAGGAATTGGTGCTCCAGTTGGCAGTAACTCACCAGAACGAAGAGGGATGCCTCTGGCCAGGGTGGAGCTCTCTGGAAGCTGATCCAGCTATTGTCCATACTTGCCTGTTCTTGACTACACGGCTTCCCTGTCCACAGCAATCAATGCAAAGATGCTGTGCCAGCACACATTTCTTTTTATGTTCTATTTCTGGGCTGCCCTCCTCCCCCAGCCTCTGCAGTGGCCAAATCAGAGCATTGTTAACATAATTTGTGTTTTGAAAGTTTTCTCAAGTGTGACAGATCTCTGGCTAAAACCCTGCGTGGAGGATCGAAACTATTATTGCAAACTTCCCAGCTACATCTTGGCTGATGGCAGCTTCACTGTGGCAAAATTCCCTTTACTTATGCGAGCTTTGGGAAGTCCATACCCTGCAAGCAGCACATACACGGACTTAGATCAGCCTGAAAATTAATGATCATCTCCTGTATCATTCCTTGTTAGTCAGAGCTGTCCTCCTGCCTTCCACTCAGGGCAGGAAGCACAAACAAGTCTGGGTACACAAAGGGTTCAGTCCTACCAGCAGGTATTCAAACCATTCTGCCCCCATCCTCCAGTCCAGGCCCAGGTCCTTGGTGAGGAAGCTGGCGACGTTCTGCCGCCCTCTGTTCGACATGAAGCCCGTGGCACTCAGCTCTCGCATGTTGGCATCCACGAAAGGAACCCCAGTTTTGCCCTCTGCAGAGACAAAACACAGTGCTGGGACACAAGGACATTTTTGGGCACTCCTAAACCAACCTGTGGTGGCCCTGCATTCACAGCCCTCCAAGTGGGAAAGACGGTGCCAGTGCACAGCGGCAGGGTGGGATTTCAGTGAGGTTTAGCCGGAGTGCAGCCACTAAGACCCACTGGAAATTAAATGGGAGATCATACTGAAAATTGAGATAAGGAGAATTTTTGGCAAGGAAAAAAAAAAAGCAAAAAACAACAGTATAGAAAAATCTCAGACTGGAAAAACAATCAAGTGGATTGCAGGGAATTTTGCAGAGTAGAATATACAGACAACAGTGAGATGGGCCAAGAACAGAAAGATTCTTGACAGGTGACTAATAGAGGGATGTACTGGAAAAATCTCCAAGGATTAGTATCTGAAAAGTAGACAGTTTGTCTATTGTTAAGGAAAAGATTTATTGTGTCTGTGTGATTTGTTGTATCCTATGTGCAAATGGATACATGTGGCACTAACATGAAAAAAGAAATATAGGCATGTATTTCACTAATTCTGATGCTTCAATCTGTTAATCTCTCTAAGTTTTGAGATCTTATGCTTGCTATTCATGTTACAATATAAAAGCTAAAGAAAAGGCTGTGGGATTACAAAAGACGTGGTTACTTCTAAGTTTGCTTTAACCTTGTAACCAAAAACAAACAAAGAACCAAATGTAGCAGGCATGGCAATCTAACATTGATAAGAAGGGCTGGTCAGCCTCTGTGTGACTAAACAGAAGGGACCAGCAGGTGACAAACACTCCCCCTTGGGCAGGAAAACCTAACTGCAGAACCTGGCCACTCATGACACCCTGTGGTCCTGCTCCTGTACGGTGCTCAGTCTGGGAAGGGAAGCCAAGCATCCTGCACACGCCCTCATACACTGGTGGTGCCAGTTGAAATGACAGCTCCCTACAGAGACCCAGCCAGCGTTAGGGCACGTGTGAACACGCAGGCACGTGGAAGCCAAAAGCACACCCAGCCAAACCTGCGGTTTCTACTGACCTTTCCAACAGCCAAAGAGCTGAAGGTCCTTTTTCCAGGGTATCTCTTTACTTTGAAGCCCTGTTGAGAAAAATAATGAACTGCTGATGAAGAAATAGTGACGCAGGCAGTTACTCACACAACAACACAGCCTGAGGCACCTTGGCTGACACAAGGCATAGGGTAAAGCTCGTCCTCTCAGTGCCATTATAAAGAAACCTTCTGCAAGGGTTTAGAGATGACCTATTCTTCCTTCTAAGTGTTGCAAAGGGGTATCTTTTATATACAGAGGATGCTCAAGCCCTAACAGATTTTGATTATTTCTTTTGTTGATGTTTTCTTGGTTTTTTTTTTTTTTTTTAATTAAAACCAACTCAGACTTCACAGGTGGCAGGAGATATGCTCTGGCCCAAGACAGTATTTTCTTGTTCAGTTTTACTCCAGGACAACGTTTATGTGAAATCTGTTTCTGTAGCAGATACTAAACCAAGAATTACCTGGCAGAAGCCCCAGGTAACACTTTGCCCCTGCAGGGGGATAGGAACAGATGAGGGAGATGATTTAATGTTTGCAGGATCCAATGGCAATTACAGCCTTCTGTACAGTGGAACGGAGGCAGAAGGGACAACTCGGCTCTAGCTGCAGATATCCAAGGTCAGGCTCACCACTGGCTTCCAGTGCCATCAAAACAGCCCCACAGGCCTGGCAGATGTGACACAGGCCTTGAGGGAGATGTGCTCCTCTGCAGCCACAGCTGGATGCCAGGATCTGACCTAGGGCATAAAAAGCAGTGCTCTCTGCTTAGGTACGGGCAGCTACATCACCTGGAGAACAGCTCACCCAGCACAGGCATCACCTCTTAGGGTTTCCTGGCATATGGGCTGGATATTTGTGGTTGCATGGAGAGTTCAGACCCCCAGTTCAGCTGCAGATTCTTGCACATCAGTCACTGGGGCTGGAGCTGAATCTCACTCTGATTCCTACGTAGTGTGAGGCAGAAAGAATATCTGGTTTCTAGGGATTCACACTCCTGGGTCAGTTCCTGCTCTGTCCCACATTCTCTGGTGAATGTGGGCAAGCCTGGAGCCTGGATTCTACCCAAAGATGCAATGTATCTGGAAACAGCATCTTCACTCTGATTGTTCTGCTGTTTCCCACAGATATGTGTTAATAATCCTCCCTATATCAGGTGTGGGGCTCAGTGTCTGCAGAGTCTTCAGCACCATGGTGGTCACACCACTGCTTTGAGAAGAACATTTGTAGAACTTAATGGCAGCAGCCCATTCTCTTACTTTCCCTGTGGTAAGACTGCACCTTTCCTCTCCAAATACAGTGATCTATACACACCCCTTAGTGAGAAAATCCTCTTGCCATACTTCAGGGCCACAAACCGAAAGTAATCCCTCCACAGCAGCTCAAACAGGACCCTGAAACACAAAGGGTCACTGTGGGTCAGACAAAATTACTGAATTGGGATTTTCCTTCCACAGCACCCATCATTAACACCGTGAGGTTTATCCACAATTTCACGGACCTTCCCACGATAACAGTTCTTTCCCAAGCCTACTTACCTGGCTTTGCAGCTGGATGACTACAGGGAAAGCAAACTTTGCATGAATCACCTGGGAAGCTTCCCTTAGCTCGAGTGCAGGAGCAGAATTTCAGGAAACATGTTTTTCACCCATCCCTACTGGGATGCAATCCTCCAAAGAGCAGGGTGAGGGCCTGATTCAGCTTCACACTTCCTCATGAACAAGTGTGTCAGCACATTCCTGAGAGCTTTGCCTTGATTTAAGCAATAACCTTTGTGAGGGACTTAAAGACACCTTTCAAAAGTGGTTGATAGTGCTCTAGCTCGTGAGATCAGGTGACAGTCCCACCTCAGCCTCTGAGGCCTGCTTCAGCTCTCTGGCATACTGGAAACATTCTGCTCAGCTGATGTTTAGGCTGATAAGATCTTTCTGGAAAATCTCATTACAGAACAAGACACTGCCCAAATGCTAAAAACTGGTGTCATAATGCTGAGGTTCAAGGAGTCCCTCATGTGCAGCCACCACGACCTGTACTTTACTGTACCATTGTCTGCAGTGCCTGGGAGCTTGACAGATTCATTTTTATAATTATTAATCACTTTAGAATACTAAAAGCACCACGGCACCCCAGCTGCCAGCAGGCTGGTATTAGATGGAAAAACATGAGTATGTTCATTTCTTGAAATCTTTCCTCTCTTAATTGTCTTCTAAGAAAAAAACAACCCCAAACATACACTTGAAGAGTGTTGATATTTTATCTGTCATTTGAATTTTAATGAAATTGAGTATTTTGGCCAGAATTGTTGGCAATGTTCTGCCCGCTCTTCACCAACCACTGTGCTGTTTGACATATTGCAAATGTAACAAACCAATATGAATATACAGTTCTAGAGTTTGCACAGACTTTCTGGTTTGGGTTTTTTTCCCCATCCAAGTCTAGTGTTAGGCCAGGCTCTAACGTGAACCTGCTCCTCCATGAGAGTGATTTGTACAAGTCACACAGCTGCTGAGACTTTGGAGTGAAACTCTGCTCGTATCTTTGGCATGAGAAACCCTTTAGCTTTTATTTGTAAATCATTCTTTCTTCTCATCTAGCCCATAATAACAACACAGAGACAGATGGTGCTGATTTACTGAGATCGTTTTTAAAAATCATAAACCACAATTTCCCAGCAATAATAATGACAACTGGCATCCATAATCTCTACTTGCAAAGTGCCTAAAGCCTCTGAGTGTCAAAGGCAGATTAATAAATCCTGAAACAGAACTGCAGTGCAACCCAGAGGAACCAGGCAGCAGGCACAGGAAAAACAAACATTAATTAAGGGGAGTTAACAAATCACTCTCCTGTGTGTGAGATGCTGGTTTCCTATTCAGAGAAAACAACATGCTGATGGTGCAAGGACATACCAGTATGTGCTCTGATTTGCTGTTCTCTCTCTTTCATACTTCTGGATCTGCTCATAGATGTATCGAGGTGAGATGCAGCCCAGCGCCAGCCTGAAAGCAGAGGAATTGTGTCCTGAATGCCACGCAGGACTCACAGCTCAGAGGGAGTGGAGGGGCAGTTTTGTGTTGAGTTGTTGTCTAAAAGGTTTTGCTGGGTTTGCAGTTCTGCCCCAAACGGCTTTAATCAAGTTCTGCAACTTCTTTGCAACTCCTCAAGAGGGAGAATCCTCTTCCAAGAAACAAAATCCTCCCCTTCCCAGCATATGGCTGTTACAGGAGCCTCCAAGCTACGGAGACAAATCATTTCACACAAGTTTGACAAGTTTTGCCTGAATGATTTGATCAGCTGCTGACTTAGTGCACCAGTGACAAACCCAAAGTGGATCTCAAATGCCAACCTCTGCATCATCTGTCCTACCTCTCCTGGCACTACAAACCTCCTTATTATGTGCCAGGCTCCTTTTCCTGAAGAACCTCAACGTCTTATCTGAGCAACCACAGAAGGCTTGCTGAAAATCTGAGGCCAGGCAGGAAACCTAGGGAATCAAACCCCACTCTGGCATTTCAACCCACTGGGCTCCTTCCATTTGTTCCAAATAAGTGCTGTGCAAGACAGGAAAGAGCTTCCAGACTCCAACCCCATCATGCAGGAACAACTTTTACCTTGATTTTCCTAGAAATGCATTTAACTGCCATTTCCACTATGGCTGGTGGAAACATTTGATGTTCTAATGAATTCTGGAAAACAGGAAGAAAGAGCCTGAAGAGTTTTTCCTTAATTGTTGACCAGTTCTGACACTTAGAAATGGCCAGTATGAGATGGGACTGACTGGCTGCAATCTGAGCCACTCTGACTTTGATTATCTGACAGAGGAACATTTTGGGGCAGGCAGATCTGGACTGTCTGCTCTGGGCAAATGGTCGGCTTGGAAAAATTCGAGCAGAGCCACAAATAAACCTGAGCAGTTTCAGTGGTCCTGGGATCCCGACTGGAATTCTGAAGTGCCACCAGATGGAGCCATCCACTGCAACCATCAAAGCACAAAGCTGGGTGAAACCAAGAAATCCTGACCTGTAACAGCCTCAGAAAACCATTTCATATCACAGTTCTGTCGGGACAACACTCCAGATGCTCTCAGCTTAGGCTGAACTGGGTTCTGCTGCTGCAGTTTCAGTCTGGAATTAACTCTGCCCCTTCCAGCATCAGAGACTAAACCACCTAACCAGGAGTCAGCAAAAAAGAGATCCTTTTGCAATAGGAATAATCAGAAGTGTCTCTTCTACCCACAGAAGAAGACAAAGGCAGTGAGGTGAGGTGACTTGCCCCACAGTATTCAGGAAACCAGGTCTGGATCGAGTTCTTCTACAACCCTCTCAACACATGGAAGCTGTGCTGCTTCCCTGCCTGCTCCCAACCACCCCTCACACACAAAACAGCATGAAGCCAAAGGCATGAGTCCCTCCTGTGCCCTGCCCACATTGGTGGTCCCAGCACACAGGGCTCTTGGCACAGTTCTGCTACAGTGCAGTAGTTCCTAATTGCAGGAATGTTCCCAGGGAACCACACCCAGACCCCTACCCATGCTCAGTAGCACTCAGCAGACAGGTAACATCAGTTTGGGATGGGAGCAGAAAAGGAGTTTTCCACAACAAAAATCTTTACCATGGTGCAAATTTGGTTGAGTAATCCATTCCCACCAGTCCATTCCGAGACTCCTTGTAAGATGCAACCAGGTTCTGTGTGAGCAAAAGAACAAAAGGTTTGAACACTTTACAAACAACCTGCTAAATATGTTTTCTCTCCTTCTGGAGGCAGAGCAATCTGGCAGGGCTGGGCTCCCTCTCATGGCTGCCTGCAAGGATTACACAGCTGCCAAATTCCTGCCTCCAGCACACAGGAATTAATCAGGCCAGCAGTTTTCATTTATAGCTGTGGGATGTGTGTCACGAGCTGTGCTCCCCAGTTCAGCCTGGAGCACATTTCCTTCCACAAGCACTGTGCACCTGGTTGTACTTGCTCCCTGCCTGTTCCCGTCTGACTCTGGATCAATAATGCACTTCCAAGCCCCAGTGGAACTCCATTGTCCATGTGGTTGCTTGTTTGAGTTTGAGAACCTGAGTCTGACAGCTCCCAGCACTCAGCTGCAGGAACTCACATTTACAGCAGGGTGCACATCTTCCATTTTCTAAGTGCTCCATGGACAGTGCAGGGGACACAGGGAATCCAGATCTCTCCTTGATTCCCTTCACTGCACAGGTTACAATTTCTAAGGGGCTGTTCTACCTCGCTGGGGAACACAATGCTTGCATTACAAAAAAAGAAGGAACAGGTTTTCCAGCACTGGTTGTATTAATGCTTGACCAAGAGTAGAAGCTGTGCATGCCTGTGCTCATTTTGGCTGGGATGGAGTTAATTTTCTCCACTGTAGCTGGTCTGGGGCTGTTTTGGATTTGTGCTAAAAGCAGTGCTGATAGCACACCAGTGTTTTCGTTATTGCTGAGCAGGGTTCACACAGCCTCGAGGCCCTTTCTGCCTCTCTCACCACCCCACCCTGAGTAGGCTGGGGGTGCACAAGGAGGTGGGAGGGGACACAGCCAGGACAGCTGATCCCAACTGGCCCAAGGGGTATCCCAGACCATAGGATGTCATGCTCAGCACATAAAGCTGGGTAAGGAGGAAAGGGGGATGTTTGGAGTGGTGCCTGTTTGTCTTCCCAAGTAACTGTTCTCCACGTGGTAGAGCCCTGCTTTCCTGGGCATGGCTGAGCACCTGCCCACTGATGGGAAGTTTTAAATGAATCCTTACTCGGCTTTGCCTATGCAAAAAGCTTTTGCTTTCCCTAATTAACTGTCCTTACCTCAACCCACAACTTTTCTCAACTTTTACCCTTCTGAATCTCTCCTCCATCCCACTGGCAGGGACTGAGGGAGCAGCTGCTTAGGGCTGCGCCTCCTGGGGTTAAACCAGGACAATGATCCCCAACAGCAAAGGAATGCAGCAACTTCCTCAGCACAGCAAAAATGATGCCCTGAGGCACTGGACACAGCACAGTTCCTAACCCATCTCAGCCTGAGAGATGCTCCCCCCTTTATCCACAAAGCTGGTGGGGTCTGATGCTGTTGGAAATCAGCACACGTGTCTTTGAATTCACACAAGGCAAATTTAAGGCAGTTCCTCAAACTAGGCCAGGAAGAAGTCCAAAAACTGGCTGCACAGACAAAATGCAGTCAGCAGCAGCTTCACTCCACCAAAGCAAGGGAGCAAGAAGTAGCTGTAATTATTGGCTGCAAGTTTTCAAACCAGACTACAGGAACCTCCAACTATTTATAACTGTGGGCAGAACTCGGGTTAGTTGTTCCTCACCCCTATTGCAAGTGCAGCCCCTTCAGGCCACTATTCACTCCTCCAATATGGGGGAACTACTTTGCTGATCACATGGGACATGAGAAAAGGCAAATTGAGAGAAAGGGGCTAAAAAATTTTGTCCCAATTCCCAAAAATTAACGGAAAAAAGAATTTCAGAGGGATGGCCACTAAACTAGGTTCCTAAGTATTTGGCATACATTCCCAGTTCCTGGATGACTTGTTTTTGGTCTAGTTTGCCTCTCTGAAAAACTGAAATAATGTTATTTCTCTGCTTTGCAAAGTGTTATACAGGACCTAAGGAAATATTGTTAGGAAGTGAAATTGCAGCCTCACCCACTTGCACAGCCATGTGTACAAGGGGGAGGATGTAGGCAAGGAAATGCAAGAGTTACCGTGTCCCAAAAATAATATTGCAGTCTCATTAAAGCCTGGGTCTCTCCTCCACTGCAGGGGAAGGCTGTTCGTGGATCAGTTACAGGATCTGCCACAGAAAACACCATCACGTTGTTACCTCCTTGGAAAGGTAGGGAGCTTAAAATCTAGGGATGTTCAGCAGTAGGGATGTCTGCTTTTGGGACATAAAAGATTGTGTGGTCTTCCTTTAAAATAAGGGTCACATCAAACATATTAAAAAGCACTAAGATGTTTTCTACCCAGCTGCAGGGCACCTCCTCCACAGGGAATTTACCTTGATTTGCTGTATGAGTGGGCAGAGGTTTAGTTACAGTTGAAAGGGCAACCACTGCCTCCATGTCTTATTTCTCAGAAAGAGACATATCATAGAATCATAGAATCACAAAATGGGTTGGGTTGTAAGGGACCTTAAAGATCATCTCATTCCATCCCCTGCCACGGGCAGGGACACCTTCCACTATCCCAGGTTGCTCCAAGCCCCCTCCAACCTGGCCTTGGACACTTCCAGGGATGGGGCAGCCACATCTTCTCTGGGCAACCTGTGCCAGGGCCTCTCTACCCTCACAGGGAAGAATGTCCTCCTAACATCTAATGTAAATCTCCTCTCTTTTATTTATCTCCTGAGCACAAATTGCCTCTCCATATTTACAAGGAGACATCTTTTCTGTGAGAGAATATGATGTGCAGTGCAAGATGTTTGGTTTATATTAACCACCAGATCTCAAGTGCAGCCAGTACAGGTGCCTACTTCACCTTGGCTGAATGTCTGTGTCCTGGGAATCTGAAGCAGCCAACTTACTTTGCAAAACCATGTTTTTAAAAACAGGCCTAAGCAGGATATATTTAAGAACAGAATCTAGGTAGGATTTCATGGGAGCAACTGCCAAATTGAGTTTTCTTACCCTTCTGTCCGAAATCCTCCATTGTAGGGATGCACCCTTCTTCCAGCCCTGGAGCCAGAGGCTTTAGCTGCTCTGCCATCCGCAGGGTTGGCCGGACCTTCGCCTCAGATTCCACCGCCCTTCGGAAATGGGTGTAGACATCAGGCAACCTGCACAGGTGACAGCACAGTCAGGTCTCTGCAGGGTGGTTTCCTGGGCCCCTGCACACAGCACTCACACACCTTCCACAGGGGGAGGATTAGCATTCCAGGCTGCGCTCCCCTGGGGCAGAGCACAGGTTTGTGATACCTCTCTATTTGTATCCTGCCAGGCACAATAGAGGAAGATGCCCCCGGGGCTAGCAGCCTTCAGAAGTTCAGCCCTTTGCCCAATTTCTTTCTGCTTCTGATGCAGATTGTGCCTTTTCAATTTAAGGCGTGTCCATGAGGGTCAGATTTCTCTCACCTAACTTCTGATTAACACACAAGGCTGACCTCAGTGTAAAAATCTGCAACCTCCTGATGCCTTTTCAGTCAAAGGAGAGAAAAAGGCATTTTCATGGCCTGACTCTTCTGCCCTACTTCATACATTTTCTGCAGAATACCACGGATCACTTAAAACTCCATCAACTACACCCCATGTGACTACTGAGGGAGCCATGAAAGAGTCCCACAAACACGAGGGAGACACAAAACACAGCAAAGGGGGCATGCTGTCATCAATAAGGGGGGCCAAGATGGCATTCGTCGAGGGGGTAATGGAGCAATCCAATCCAGCCAGGCCAATGTGATCCAGAAGTGTCACCAAATGGGCCAGCAGGACCAGGGCAGTGACCATAACCACCCCTTTACGTTGCACTGGTGAGGCACCTCGAATCCTGGGGTCAGCTCTGAGCCCTTCACTACGGGAAGAAACGTGCGGTGCGGGAGCATGTCCAGAGAAGGGAACAGAGCGGGGGAATGGTCGGGAGCACAAGTCTGGTGAGGAGCAGCTGAGGGAGCTGGGGGGGCTCAGCCTGGAGAAAAGGAGGCTCAAGGGGCATCCTGTTGCTTCCTACAACCTGAAAGGAGGTTGTAGCCTGGAGGGAGGGTCGGTCTCTTCTCCCAGATAACAAGTGACAGGACCGGAGGAAATGGCCTCAAGTTGTGCCAGGGAGGTTTAGATCGGATATTAGGAAATCACTGAAAGGGTGATTAAGAATCCCACAGGCCACCCAGAGATGTGGTTGAGTCACCATCCCTGGATGTATTTAAAAGTGTAGATGTGGCACTTAGGGATAAGGTTTAGTGGTGGGCTTGGCAGTTCTGTGTTAATGGTGATCTTTAAGGTCTTTTTTGACCTAAACGATTCTATGATTCTATGTCACAAGGATTTTGAAGACTGCAGACTGAGTATCCTGACTGTGCTGGTCCAAACTGCTGGAAAGGCAAAGAGAAATCAGTCCTCAGTAAACACTCAAACACACACCTTGGCTTTATGGATATTGAAGTGGAAATCCTGCTAATGCAGAGGGATGAATGTGCCCCTTCCCCTCGATGCACCATAAACACAGATGGACTATTGGGTCCCTTCTCTGTGGGACCAGATGACTAGGAGCCCTCCTGAAGAGTTCATTGGAGTGAGAAACAAGTGGGACAGTGCAGGAGTGAGTGACACCATGGAGCAGCCCACCTGGCAATAGGCCTGAAGGGAAGGTCATCCCGATGATACAGCGTGGATGCCCAGAACATCTGAATCTTCACCCCATGCTCCTTACACACCTGGCACAGCCCCTTCTCCACATCCAGCTCCTCCTGCGTGACCTAGGGAGATCAAAATAGTGAGGCCAGGGCTGCACAGCCCCAGCTCCCATGTGCACACAGACCCTGGTCCCTTGTCCTGCCCTCCTCCCTCATCTCCACATTTAGCTCCTTCCCTCTGGATGCACACACACAATCTCTGAGTCTTGCTCCAGCAAGGACTCCCACCCAGAGCCTACACCATCCCCATCCCAGGAACTATCCAGTTTCCTCAAGGTTAACACCACCACTGCCAAGAAAGACCCTGAACACACAGGATCTGCATCACCATTTGGTTGTGAAAGAAACCTCTGCAACCTAATTTTATCTTTTAAACTATGTCACTTCAGTATTTCCCTTACCTCTTCGTGGAAAGCCACAGCGCTGACAGAGCCCAGCTGAGTAATCAGATCGCGGACCACATCTTCTGGCTTCCCCTTCCTCACAACCAGGGTACTACAAACACAAAATATTGGCCTGAGTTGTTGTTATTTATGTGTACAGGAGGTCCTTGTCTGAGCCCAGGCAGGCACCCATGGACTAGTTCTCTACGGAGCACAGACCCGGTGTGGAGGCAGACAGACAGGATTTGACTAGCCTGCATTTTTTAGGAGCCAGTGAACAGAGCTTGTAAGCCTCTGGGGCTTAGTTTGTGTCAAACATATTTCTGACACTCTGGATGCCTTAGAAAGGATCACTGAGCACAAAGCCAGGCTGTTACCTAAAAGTGAATCTCTTCATCCTCACACACCAGTGATTGAAGAGCTGGCTGATGCGACTTGTCCAGGTTGCCCAGAGAGGTGCCAGGTGCCCCATCCCTGGAAACATTCAAGGTCAGATTGAGCGGGGCTCTGAGGAACCTGTTCTGGTTGAAGATGCCTCTGCTCATTGCAGGAGGTTGGACTAGATGACTTTTAAAGGTCCCTTCCAACCCAAACTGCTCTATGACTCTATGATCTTTTGCTAAGCAAAGCCAGATGTTACCTGGTAATGGATTCTTCAGGCCCTGGTCTAACCCAGCTATGGTTCTAAAGGCATAATAAAGGAGGCTCCTCTGGAGACCCCCTTACCACAGTGCAGCCTACCACAGACTGAGTTTAGAGGGACAGGGCATAAACAGATGTAACTCTCCAGTCTCACAGGCCAGAATCCATGTTGGTCAGTCTCAAGCCAGCTCCTAGGGAAAACTCCTAGGGACAAGAAAGGACACATGCCACAGTCATTGCCTACATCTCAAAGGCTGCCATTCATGTCTCCAGTTGTCAGGGCTCTGGACAAAGCACTCAAGGGTGACACCCATCTCTGGTATCTGATTTCGAGAAAGCAAAAGCCCACATGGCACAGCCTGGATGGCTCTTTGTTCCCTGTGCAGTCACCACAGCAAGTCATCTGAACAGTGGCTACATAAGGGACCTTGCTGTACCTAACAGAAGGGCTGTAGCTCTCAGAAATAAACCACCATCAGAGCTCGGAGCACCGGACATGATTTGACTCAGAGCACAGGTATGTGTTGAAAAAGAGCAGGAAAACAGAAATATACGTGTTATTTGCACGGTGCCTTCTCAACTACCTTCCTTTTTTCTTGAGCGTTTCCCTTAGATCCTTCACACTTTCCAGCAAAAACCGGAGCCGGTGGGGCCCTGTCTTGGGGAAGCCGAAGCAGTGGGTGCCCAGGTAGTGCCGCGGGTCGAAGCAGTAGAGAGGGATCACGAAATCTGCGTTATCCTGAGCCCAGTGGAGCACCTGGAAAAAACACAGAGAGGGCCGTGAGAGCTGCCGGGGGCGGGATGCAGCGGGCATCTCTCCCCATCCTGCCCACCAGCGGGGCTATCCCCACGGAAAATCCCATACCTGGTTATCGTGGGCGCGCAGGTCGCAGCGCAGCAGGCAGATGACCACCCTCGACATGGTACCTCGGGGTTAGTCCTGCCTCTCCCGGCTCGGCTCTGCCCTACGCCCGGCCCGGCTCTGCGTCCCTCTTCCCGGCCCCTTCATCCCGCCCCGCCGGGGAGGAGCCGCCCTGCCCCCGGCTCCCTGTGTCCGCCCCCGCAGCATCCCCGTGGGACGGGCACGCCTCGTCCTGCATCCCGGGAGGGTGGCGGGACCGGGGCGAGCTCATTTCCCTCGGTCCGGGATCCCAGCGCTTTTCCTCTCACCGGAGTCCTGCCCCGGCCGGGCGCACTTATTGCTGAATTGGCGTGGGGTTTTTTTTAACCTCGAAAATCTCTTTTGTCTCCCACACATCAGCATCAGGAGGTTGTAGCCGGGTGGAGGTCGGTCTCTTCTCCCAGGCAACCAGCAGTAGGACAAGAGGGCACAGCCTTAAGCTGCGCCAGGGGAGGTTTAGGTTGGTCGTTAGGAAGTTCTTAACAGACAGAGCGACTGGGCATTGGAATGGGCTGCCCAGGGAGGTGGTGGAGTCACCGTCCCTGGAGGTGTTTAAGAAGAGACTGGATGTGGCAGCAGTGCTATGGTCTAGTTGACAGGATGGTATTAGGTCACATGTTGGACTCGATGATCTCAGAGGTCTTTTCCAACCTAGCTGATTCTGTGCTTCTGTGATCTGTTGCAGCGTGGCCCCGTTGTGCTGAGGCTCAGCCGCGGTGACACCGACCCTCTGCAAGGGGCAGCACTCGCCCAGCTCTGACAGTGTTGTTAGTGTTTATCCTTCAAATGCCGAGGCTGCGATAGGATGGCCACTGGTACAGGAACCAGCTTTGCAAAGAGCTCGTCACCTGCTGACCGACAGCAAGTGAGCTGTAGACTAGCAATAATTAGTGTATTTAGTTCTCACCACTGAGAGAAGAGGCTGAAGAGGCTTTGTCTCATCCTATAGTTTCCTTAAGCTGACATTGGACACCGGTGATCACACATCCCTTACTCACTGAATTGTCTCTCGGGATCCTTTTTTTTCATTCAACCACTCTCATAAGAGGAAACCAAGCGCAGGAACAGGCTGCCCCGGGGAAGTGGTGAAGTCACCATCCCTGGAGGGATTTAACAGATAACAGATGTAAATATGGTGCTCAGGGACACAGCTTAGTGGTGGATGTGGCAGTGCTGGGTTAATGGTTGGACTTCATGACCTTCGAGGTCTTTTCCAACCTAAACGATTCTACGCTTCTATGAAATGCTTGGCTCAGAGGTCTCCAGCCACATGCTCCCTTTGTGTAAGTCCAGTGGTTCTCCTGGGGTGTGAGAGAATGGAGAAGGGGGTTAAAATGTTGCAGTAAGGAGCTGGTGATGACTGAGGATCCAGATTTACAGAAATTAATTTCTGCTTCTCATTTCAGTACCTGAATTGCTGAAGTGGAGCTTTTGGTGGAAGCACATGGACTCTTAGATGCTCACCAGAGGTAAGATGTACCAGTGGGTCCTGGGGAGTCCTGGCTTCATTTCCATCTCCTCCAGACCAGCAGGTCCTCTGCATGCAGTCTGCACTGGCTGGCTGTAGGAAGTGATGCTGATTCCCTGTGTAACCCACATGACACATCATCTCCTGATTCCTTTTCTGTGCACCAAGGGCTCCTTTTCCTGGCTCAGCAGCTGCAGCCCACTAAGAACCAGTGAATCATCCCAGAGGACTCATGTTTGGTAAAAGAAAAGTAGAGCCAAAACTTTGGGCTCATGGCCAAGGAAAACACGGTTGCTGGCTTGCAGTTCTTAGAAGAACAACATGTCTCTTTATCATATTAGAAATATTGAAGAAAAACAACAATAGTTTATGAATCTTCTCTGTTTGTCTTTGCCTTCATTTGCACAGGGACAAACAGTGCAGTTGGCTTTGCTTTTGTTTGCAGTCAGGCTTCCCCCACAGTGTCTTGGTTGACATTAAGCTGGGCCAAGTCTGGCAGTGATGACATCCTCTTGTAGCTTACTCAGAGCTGCTAGACAGCCACCCACTCCAAGAGGCCTCAGTTAATGGGTAGAGAGAGGTGACCTACTGCCTGCAAAGGGGCTATTTCCCATTGGCAAGGAGGGCTGGTTGCCACTAAACACAAACCTTTGCAACCTAAATGAAGAAAAGGTGTGAAACTGTTGATATGTCAGTGAAGAAACAAAAAAAGTTGGGTGCAGCAGGAGCGGTAACAGAATCACCAGTCTGTCTGGGTTTAAAAGCAAGCAAGTCTCTGCCAGCATTTGATTTATACAGATGTAAAGGTTGTGAGATGTCCAACACCACAACAGACTCTGCACAACAGGGCTGTTAAATGTGATGGTCGAGGCAGCAAGAGTGGGCAGGAAAAACAGATGTCCATAAAGGATGGAGAGTTTGCTCAGGCCCAGAACCCAGACCTTACACCCAACACTACCCTGTCTGTCACATGGCTGGAGGTTGGTTTTATTTCCTTTGCACTCTTGTAGGAGGGTACAAATCCTGTCACACACTCGAGCCAGTGCTTTCTAAAACAGTGCTGACCACATCCACTCTGTACTCTACCCTGATAAGAAAAAAGGTTAGTTCTTTTACTTACACAGTTGCCAGTCCCTGCTTCTCTGAGGCCTCGTGAAATCATCCTCTGAAAATAAGTGTAACAGGGGTGTTTAGGAAAAGCGGTGTGGGCAGGAGTACTTTGTTCTAAAATTAGAAAGCAGGAGACCTGGCACTGTGAACTGCAGGCTCTCCAGTCTCCGTGCCTGGATTTTCCATTCAGATGAACACAGTCAATGAGAACAAAAGCTTTCTTTTTTTACCCACTGGCACCTGTCTCTTTACTTCAGGATGGTGTTCCAGCTTTCCATTCTTCATTTGGGAAGCAGAGAAGCTTCGCCTGCTTGAAATACCAGCAATCTCTATGCCAGTATGGAGGCAAACAAGCTTTCCACTGTCATTTTTGTAAAGTATCCTCCAAGAGCCAGCTTCCTTACTGGAGTCCTGAAGTTAGGGCCTGGGTTCATAGGACCTGGGGGGAGATCTGTGAACTTTGATGAAGTTACACGGGGCACCTGTAATAAAAAAATTGAACATTCATGGACTATCCAGACCTAGGGGGAACCTAGGGACCAAGCTAGACAGTATCTAGCAATTGCTTCTTGCAATGTGAATAGCAGCACATGAGACAACCTCATGGGATATCAGGTCTTGGGCAGATCCCAACTCTCACAAGTCAATAATCATCTAGTGATATTTTTCCCCTTGCTGCTTTGAGTGTCCTTGTCCACTCCATAAAGACATTTACCGTCTCTTGTTTATTCCTGCTGTTGGAGTGTCACCATCAGAACTCCTGTCTTGTCCTGTCCTGTCCTCTCCTCTCCTCAAAGTTTTGGTTGCATTAGAGGCTCACATTTGATGACCTTCCCCCGGGACAATAGAGTTTTTCTCTGCTGGACCGTTTGCCTCCAGCACTGCTGTGTCACCACATCACCAATTAATGCCTTTGACATGTCATCCATCCATGTTCATGTTCACAAACGTGCCCAATTTCATTCACGTGCATACCCCCATCTTCATTCAGACCATGTTTCACCTGTCTAAAGTAACAAATTTGCCTGAATAATTTCCTCTTTCATTTTGGAAGCAAATCCCAACTGTTGCTGTCTCTGTGAGAACAACACTTTCACATTTAGTTTGTCATGCATGAAAAGTTTGACATCACTATTTGATGTTTTACTGAATCTCCCTCTGAGCCCTTCACAGAATCTTGAATCATGTCATCGTTAGCTGTTTTCATAAAAGCATGAAACCTCCAGGATCAACACATAGTGCAGCACTGCTCGGAGACAGACTAGTCATTGTTACCACTCCTGCTGCACCCAAGCATGTGCTCTAATGGCTCTTTGCCTGTGACAAGTGCAGTTTGAATAGCCTGTTAAATCCTGTCCACCAGCACCGAACACCTCTCACTTTTCATGAACACCTGATGCTCCACCTAGATCTATCTTTCAGCCTTTTGAACCATTACTAACAATGACAACCTGTCTTTAATGCCAAGATCTCCCATTCCAGAGACGGTGCTTTGATGTTTTGACTGCAAACGACTCTGCACTCTCTTTCCTGGTGGAAGCAGAAGGACATAGCCCTGCTCCAAGAGCTCAGTTTGCTGCCTGCAGAAATGCAGCCCCTCTTTTTACGGGTCAGAGACTTTTCCTTGGTGTTATTTGTCACGCCTTCTGGTTTGGAGGGGTCTTGCCATCAGATATAGTGCAGGGACCATCTGGCCTTGGTTCTGCTACGATCGTCCTTGTAGGAAAACATACAGACCGATTGCTCTTTGTAGTTCAGCTTGTGACCACTATTCATTAAATCTGTCATTTCCTCTTCTGCCTTTCAGCGGTATTTCCTCCATCAGGAACCTAATGACTCTCTGCAAGCTCTCATCTACCTACAATTACTGGACCTGTCTAAAGCTTTGCCAAGTGGCTTAAACAGTGTTTAATCTCTGGTGTCAGCTACTGCTTATGGCTGTCTTACAGGTTTGCAACACACTCACACCTGACTTACGTTATACCTTCAAAATGCTAGAAAAAGTATCTACCCAGGTAAAGGATCAGACATATATAACTGCAGCTGAAGTAGCTTAAGTGTACTCACCTCCTTGGCTGATGTAATTCAACACAGCTAACCAAGGACTTATTTCAACCCTCATTTGACTAAAAATCTCTATTCAGGAGGCTTTTAAAGCAAAAAACGAAACTGTGGGTTTGTGGTCACAACTAGTCCTGCTGGGAACATCATGTCTGTGTTGTGTTCTGCTCCGTGCTTCTCCCTGTGTTCTTGGAACAGACCATTTCAAACCTTTGCCTACAGCAGAATTTATTCTGCTGTAAAATGGATGTAACATCACTTCCCTACTGCACAGGACATTTTGAGTGTTGACTGCCTTCATATTCGAGACCCATCTCTAGCAGTGCAAATAAAAGCACAGAATATTCTAGAAAATAATATTTACAGAAGGGTAGAGTCAAAC